AACACAGCTTTTAAAATGGAGGAACAGAGAGAACTGATTTTCTAAAATGCAGGTTTCCTGATGCAAAAGTGAATGAACGAAATGGGTCAGAATCCCACCCCTGCCCAGGTAACCTTCCAGTGGAACTGTGTCTGTTACTCTGCAGGCCCCTGACTCAGAAAATTCGTGTTTTAAATATGCACTCAGGTACAGAAAAACCAGCCTGTAAACATTAGCAGACCAAGTCCTCATCCGGATCCCCAGCAAATTATTTAACCTTTAAAATTAAGGACATTGGAAAATGGGTTGAAGTAAGCAGGAGCTTACTTTAGGAGCTTGATAAAATGTAAACAATATTTACATTTGCCTCAAAAGACTCTAGAGAGGATTAACCATGATAAAAGTATATGAAGCAGAAGTCTAGTCACTAGTCACATGTGGCTAGGAGTGCCTAAAATACGGCAAGTGGGACCTGGAATATATTTTTAAAATAATATTCATTACATGTGGAAACATATTAAGTGAAATATATTATTTTAAAATTTTAAATATGCACATTATATGTGTATCTTACATGAGAGACCAACAAAAATAATGTGCTGCCAGTTTGACTTACTTTTGTGCACATCTTAAATGTCTGCTACCCCTGAATCCCTAAAAAGTATCTCAAGATTGTTGACTTCATTCAACTTTTTAGATGCTTATTTTGCAAAGTTAACTGTTTAAATATTGTGATCTTATGCCTGTGGGCATCAGAATTCTCTCCATGTTAGAGAACTAAAAATAAAAAATTTGATCCTGACAAATATCCATAAACTCCAATACCAGAGCATGATCTGTTCTCATTGCTTGACCTTTAAAGAATGTTATAAATTTGAATTTAAAACCCACACCAATATTTCTTTAATTTGCTTTATGTACTGGTATTCCATGTTTAAGTAAGGTTGGAAATCTAAGGCGGACTTGGGTCTGGGAACACGGGCGGGCAGACTAACGTGGAAAGCTCTCCAGGGCCAGGCCGAACACCTCTGCTTCCTCTTGGATCCCGCAGTCCCTGCCCACGTCCTGTGCAGGAAAGGCCTGCAGAGGCCCGACCGAACCTGGTACTGCAGGGCTCGCTGGGGAGCCGGCCAGGCCACTGGAAAGAGGAATCAGGTGCCATGAGCCTTCCACAGAGAAGCCCTGGTTAGGGAGCTAACTGGGGTACCAGACACATCCCTGGGTCCTGAAGAAAGTCCCCACCTCTGCCATCACCGGCCTCATGTCTGCTGCACCCAGAGAAAACTGTTTCAGACTGCTGCCTGGATTCCCATTTCAAAAGTCCATTCATGTTTATAAGGAATACCAAAGCCATCTTCTAAGTTCGAAACTGTTCTCCAGTGGTGCAGGGACTGTTGCCACTCTCATACGTATCTCGTCCCAATCCACAAGGCAGGCGGATGCTGGAGGATATTGCAGGGACATCAGGTTCTCCACGTCCCAACGAAGCCCTCCACAAGGAGCATGGCCTGGCCACTGACGTTGCCCTTTTCATCCCCTGGAACAACTCTTATCGTCCCCTGTACACTGGAGGCCAGTTCTGCCCCTGGTGGGCTCAACCCACTCTTCCTAGCTCTGCTGCTTGGCTCCTGCATCTGGTGTCTCTCCAAACAAATTTAAGTCATCAAGTGGGTAGCTGAGTCTCCTTTTCTACAGACCGAGAGATCAAGCCTAAAAGCCCTCAGCACACAGTGCCAGGTGCATGGCCACTACACACAAAGGCAGGATGGACTGAGCAGCAGCTGAATGATCTTTAGACATTTACATAATTACTTCTACTAATTGTTTTTGTTACCCTTTCTTTCAACTAAGCTCTGCTGGACCTAATTTTGAGCCCTGATTTTCAGCTGGGTCTCTCTCCTGTGACAAGGCTGCAGTTGATCTAGATCCCACTGTGTTCAAGTGTGACCTGACCACAATGGAATGTCAGCTACTCTCACTTCACCATTCGATCCATGCAGTCTGAACCCAGCGTTTTTTTTTTTGTTTGTTTGTTTTGCCAATCATTTGCTGTTGTGGCTTGAAATTATAAGTCCCTTCCACATACACTGTTACTAATGGCTCCGTTGGAACATCTAGAGTGCACTAAGCACTGTTTCAAGTAATCCTTTAGTCAATTCTTGTGCATTTCCCCAAAGGAGCACCACACATTAAGACTGCTCAGCACACAGCGGTTGCTCAATTTATTGGATTAACCAGAACACCACCAAGTTCCCAGAAGTTTACCAGCATCTTCACTTACTCAATGATGTCCCCCACAAGAGAAGGTCACGGTACAATTGGGCCTTCCAGGAGACAGCACTGAGGAAACATCCTCAATGCCAGGAAGAGACCAATAGGATGAAGCCCTTTCGAAATGTGACAGCTGCCCAGGGTGAGAAAAGGATCCTACCTAGGGCAAGCACGAGGGGACAACCTGAGCATCCTGATTTAGGCCTTGGACACAAAGAGCACCCACCAGTCCCAGCCCTGTGGGGGCTGCAGGCTCCCTCTCCAAGGCAGGTGGGGCCTGTGTCTACAGATGCAGCAGTCGTAGCAGTTGTGCTGCCAGGACAGTCCCCATTCCAAAACGTGACCCCCGGTACGTGAGCTATGATAAGCCTCATGTTTAGCATCAAAACTATTTGGGGGGACCTGTCTCTAAGAACTCATAACAAAAACGCACCTCAAAGCCCATTTGTGGGGTTGCTTTTTGAGCAGTATCCCCCGAGGGGTGAAAGGTTAACTCCGAACTTTTGAGGCTGGAGACCTAGCCTGCTGTCAGTGAGGTAGCTGGCCCTGAAGCTGAAGGAAAACACCAGTAACACAGATTTAGAACCAAGGGAGCCAATGAAAAGAAACAAAGTGCTGACATGGACTACAACATGAAGTAGAACACCATCCTAAGTGAAAACGCCAGACACCAAGGACCACAGTGATGGTTCCGGTTCTATGAAATGTCCAGAAGAGGCAATCCATAGCAACAGAAAGTAGATTAGTGGCTACCTAAAGTTCAGTGGGGTGGGGAGATTGGAGGGTTAATGGCAAACGGGTATGAGTTATCTTCTTGAGTCAATAAAATTGTTTTTGTTAGCGATGGATGCACAACTCTGAACAGATGATAGCCCACTGACCTGTGTACTTTAAATGGGTGAATTGTACAGTATTTGAACTTTCTCAATAAAGCTATTTAAAAGAGAATCAAGGGAGTGTCCAATATCATTCATTGTGGACTTGTTTAATATTGGTTTCTAAGAGTAGTAGTTACATCCAACTTCCAAACAAATTGAAGGAAGGAGCAGGATTGTCTTGCTCAAGCTCTGTCCTCATTCCTCCACAGAACTTCCGCTGGGCAGCCTGCTAGAATTTTATAGCTTAGACCAAAACAGAAGTGAAGATTTTTTTTTTAATTATTTTTTGCTGGAACATCTAATTCAAATTTCCTAGAACCAAGCAAACAAGGACAGTAGAGACTCAGGAATCAAGGGCCCTGCAGTGTTATTTTAGCAACCAAGCTCCCGCTGGGGAGCTTGCTGAGTGCCATGGGCCTGATATGGGACAGAGTGGTCCACGCCCAGCGTTACAGAGCTCTGCACCCCTCCTGGAGCCTGGCTAGACCAGTGCACTTCCTCACTGGTCCCACATTGCACAGGCTGGCTGGTTTTCTCTTGAATTAACACAGGAGTTTTTATTGCATGCTACACGAGCAAACAGCCAGGGGATCTGAGTGCCTGCTATGTGGCAGTAAAATACCTGGTAGTTCTCTGAGGAGCTGAGCAGGGTTTGGATTTAATAAATGGTTGTCACACCTGAGAAACAATCCAGATAGGAAATAAACAGTGAACAAGATAATACCGTGCCAAGTCATCAGGGAACAGAACGGATATGCACAGAGAAGTTAGGTGGGGCACAAAGACAGCACAGTTTCAGGAAGATTGTGAAGCACGGATACAGCATGATTAGCTTACAGGAGAGGGCAACCAGGTATGAGAACCTATTACCACAGCACACATTTCTTCTCCCATGAGAGAATGTTATAACTGTTTTACCCAACTTTTGATTCCTTAGCCATTATACTTTATAAACATACCACCTACTTCCCAAGCAAAGCATGGGCATTATTATGTTTTTAAGTGGTAGATGGCAGAGAAAGCAATTTTGCCAGCATAGAGCTGGTGTTGGCTGAAGAGCCTGATTTGATCCTGCTTGCTTCCTTTGATTGAAATCTCAACCACTAGAGGGGATAGCTAGAAAAGGAGGAATACGTGACAGGCCCAAGAAAATCCCACCAGGTTTTTCTTCTTAATCATCTACCAACTGCAACAAACATCAAGTAGGGGAAAAAAAAAAACTCATCTGGTAGCCTTTTACAATTTTATTTTCACATTAGAAAAATAACATGTTTCTCGTATGAAGCACAGGGTAATTTATTAACATATTTAACTGATGCTGATGTGGCGTGGGTAGCCCTGGAGGCTAAGGCAGAGTGCTGATCCTGAGAGTGTGGCTCCAGGTCTGTTGAATGGGGACCACACCTACCAGACCTCTGGGGGGTTGGCAGGGCACCCCAGCACTTAGCCACAATATCTTACATTGAAGGAATTCCAATTATTAGGCCTAGCGTAGAATTTATGTGGCAAATTGAGAAAGCGCTACTTTGTCTTATTAGTTACAGACATCATGCTATTTCACTTTTTGATCCAATTCAAAATTGTAAAATGCAACCTTATTTCTTAAGGATCAGCTTTACTCCATTTTGGCTTCAGGAACATGGTGATGGACAGCTCATCACCCATTTTATCTCTGACATCTTGGGACAAACATTTGCTACTTTCATAACCTGTGCCTGGCAATCCCTTGGGCAGCCACTGTACTTTGAGACAGCAGAATACAGGAGCCCACTCCGGTTTGGGGGAAGGAGGGAGTGCATAAAATATAGATCTCAACAGGAAGAAAATATTCTGAAGGGTCAGAATATATTTGAAATTCATGCCACATAAAACAGGTGTCATTTTTACTTTATTTAAGGAAAAAAAAGGGGAGGGGGACAACAGTTATTTTCATAATACACAGTAGACAAGTTAGCACTGCAAAAAAAAAAAAAAAAAGGGCTGTGTACTTGCTACCAGTCTGCGTTGCAGCTTTATGATTAGTAAATTTAATGCAGTTTGTCATTTGTAATTACTATTTAGCAAACTTATAATTGGCAAAATTAGTGATTATGAATCACCGTGTGCTACCACTAAGACAAAACCTAAATAACCCATAAAAAAATCACTTAAAATAAACCATAAATATGTGATGCACATTAGTGTAACAAAACCATTTTGTAAACATTTTCTCCAACATAACACGTGCATGAGAAAAAAGTAAAAAACACTGCACTCAATACAGAAAGGGTTATTTTGATTTAAATACAGAAAGGTATTACTTATTAAAGCTTTGACTAAACCTAGAGACATTTGTGTTTTGTTTTGAAGAGCACTCCTATAATATGTAATGACATCATCATAATACATAATACTGTTTTCTTTTGTAATTTTGCCATATTGGCACTTTTGTGGAGAAGTCCCTATCCTGTAAAAGGGGATAAGAAAAGTCATTCCTTACCTAAAAGTATCTGAAAAATTTCAACAGCTCACCCTCTTAGGGAGAAACCTCACTGGGCACCTGCATGGAGCTGCAGTGACTCAATCTGGTTCACAAGGTGGTAAGGCCAAGAAAAGGAGGACAGAACAGCTAAGTAAAGCACACATCAGGAACCCACCCGCAAGGACAAATGGCTGTCCGACTTCAGTAAACTGCGCCCAGCAATGGACTCAATTAAGTTCACCTCCAATCCTGAGAGTGCCCACTGGGTGCTGGCTTAATGATTCTGACTTCAGTTCAGACCCCATCACCACGCCCTCTTCAGGTGATTCCAGTGAAACACCATTTGCATTATTGGCATGACACTGCCTGATTTACAAACACTGAGCTTCAAGTCTGTGGCTAATGCAAGACCATGATGCCACATCCTTTGTTACATCTTCCTTGTGGCAGCAGACATTTAGTATTTCTCCAAAGACCATCTGCCCATCTTTACGGCTCTCTAAAGCCAGGGAAAGGGCCACAATCACCTGTACCCTTCCTTCTCCTCTTAACATTTACATATGTGTGTTCACTCTGTTATGTTTCATCTCATGAAAAGCCCCAACATGAATAATAAACAGCTAGCAGGAACTGAATTCTGACTAAAGTCCTATGGCGATGGAATCCAATCATACGCCCATTCAAGTGAGATTAACTCTAACATTCTCCAAGTTAACTCCAAATTAGTAGAAAAGAACCAGTTATTTCAGCGTTGGCCATGAGCATGACTCCAAAGTCATACAAATGGCACATCCATTTTCATCCCCTGTTCCTCCAAAACAAGTGAGGTTTTCTCACCTTATCCTGTCTTTGTGGGTATGTACAAACAGCTGTTTTGTCTGCACTTTTGAGTGTATTTTTAAATTTTTTAGTAGATTTTTGTAGTTCAAAGGAGAGCCATTGACAAAAATGCTGAACCAGAAGGAAGAGAATGACAGGGGTCAGAGCAGGTGCCAAATGGGATGAGAAGCAAACAGGTGCAAATGACTAGTCCACCTGGGGAGAGAGTGGAGGAAAAACCCCCATTTCCATGATATAAGAGGAATTAACTGCAAAGGAAGAAGATTAAGCCTATGAAACAATCAGTTTCTTTTGGCGGACGAGGTTTAAGGCAGCTGTCACGCAATATTCCCACTCAGAACTAAACAGGAGAGCAACAAGGCAGAACTGGGATACGGAGCACTGCTCCTTCACAGAGACATTACCATCCTTAGGGGAGCTGAGTGATGACCAGGAAGCCATGAAACAAATTATTACTCAAGACATTTATTACAAATGTCATGACATATTCATAAAGTAAAACTGGTTTAAAAAACAGAGAACAAGAGAGCAAGTGAGAAAACAAGAAAAGCCAGGACTTCAATATTACACCTAAAACACAGGAAGATGTCAACTTTATGAATAAGCAGAATTAACTACATTCTTAAAATAGTTTTAGTGCATTGCATTTTTAGAAAAGGGGAATATCCAGACCCCCAAGAAAAAGGTTCCTGCAACACTGAACAGTTTGTGTGACTATTCTAATGTGACCACCTGTCTGCTACCAAACCTCGAATTGAGAATAATGAGATCTCTCATGCTGTGGGCTACAGTCACCAGATCAACCTGCAATGGTGACTCTGGCGAAAGCAAAGCACTCTGCTTTCTGCATGCAGAAAGCAAAGTGCATCAGCCATAAGGCTATCTCCCACCTTTGTGGACAGTTCTTCTTGTGCCTGATGAGACTACGATAAAATAGCAGTCAAACTTCAATCTGAGAGTTTTGGTATTAAGATTAAATTAAACATTAATGGTTTCCTCCCAAAACATATAAACTAAATCACCTCTCAATGCATTAAAAACAATGAGGTAGGCAAAAAAATAAACATGTGGTTTGAATTTTTTTTTTTCTTCTGCAAGTGCAGACTGTGGTAAAACTGTTGTTGCACTTCTAGGTTTAAACAAAAATTAAACCTTTAACTGAGGCAGTGCTAATACTGTCACACAACAAAGTTCTGGCCATTATACAAAATGCACACATTTTCTTTTTCCTTTTTTTTTAAGAACCATCTGCACATGATTTAGGCAAAACCTGGTACACAGAAAAATGACTGAGTTCATGGCCAGAATCCCCCCCACCCAAATCCAAGGAAACAAAATGGGACCCCTTAACCCACCCCACCCCATCTCCCAAGCCCCACCCACAAAAAAGTTATCCTAGTAACTGTGTCTTTCACATTTTATAAATATTAACTTCTTAAACCTGCACCTTCTTTGTCCACATATTGTCACATTACAAAAAAGAAATGTCAATTAAATACATTGTTAATGTTACTATATTAAATCTGCTCTCTGCTTCAGCAAACTGCTCCTTATACCACCACTTCTCACCTCCTTGTGCCCACTGCCAAGAAAACCAACGGCATGTTCACCGTCGCCACTGCCAGACACCCATAAGACAGAGTCATTCAGAGAAAAGGAATTCTGGAGCTGCAGGAAAGGTGTTTGCTTTCTGGCCTGATGCTCAATCCCAAACACTTTTAGCACCTGATGGTTGAATCGGAACAGCACCAGCTGCATTGCAGCCTTGATTTATTTTTGAGTAAAGAAAAAAAGAACAGGGATAAACTGGTAAAACAGGAGTAGGAAGGAAGGGAGAGAGAGAACCCAACATGTGAGGTCTGCACACACAGCTGTTCTGGTTGCCCTGGTGCAGTTCTGAGCTCCAGTTGCAAGGAATTCCAAGTTCTCAGGATCTTGAAGACTCTGAAGGCCGACAAATGCCCGGATCACACTGCTTCTACCAGCTCAGAAGAGAAGTCCTGCCTAGGGTCATGAAATAAACCTGACTGCTGCCACCAGACCGAACAGAGGCAAAGAATACCTGCAAAAACAAGAACAGAAGAGAGGGCTGGTTACCACGGCTACGTAGCACCTTGCATGGGCTTCCTGTGGGTCCCAGCCAGGGAGCCTAAGCCACCATCATCGTCAACACTGCCAAGTGCAGGGAGCTTATACACCAGACAGCCTTTTCAAAACAAACTCTGGGATAATATAAATTTATCATTTGTAAGAAGTGACCAGCGGTAGCCAATTTTTATTACAAGTAAGGCTAATTAACTGGGTAACTCCTTGTAAGTTGCCACAATGTGAGGACTTAAAAGGACTTAAAAAATGATGCTTCAGAAACGGAGTTATTTCACTGTCACTGTTAAAACCTTCTAAAGAATAAACATATTTGAAAAACACATTGAGCAACAGGGAAGACGCCTCAAGCAACCTAATTTCTCTTTTTTAAAAAAATACATTTTAAACAAAATGACTTCATGACTCTTTGGTTAATATAATTTGTTTTGTGTCTTTTATTAATAAATGTTAAGGGACATGTCAGCATGCATAAAAATATTTAAATGCTGAAGTTCAAAGAATGTTATACTTATGGCTACAGTAAATATACTTAGGAAAGTATAAGCCAAAAAGCTGCCAACATCCTGGATTAGGTGTGAGTAGTATAGATTTTCAACATACATACGTGGCAAGATAACATGAAGGAAAAAAATGCAAACACCACTTGCACATGAGTTGTAGGACTGCAGGACAGAGTGTGCTGGTGGTGAGGTAACTTTTGTGTTTAGTGCGTGGTTAGGCAGGCAGAACCAGATACCAAGGAGAGACATGTAGCTCTTTTTTCTCACAATGAATTACTAAACCTATGGGCTGGTTGCTACGATGTTTAACATATTTCAATATGAGCCAAGAGGTGGAAATGTTCTTAAGAGGCAAGTTTCTAGGGCTACTGTGCATTGCCTTATGTAGTCAGCCAAATGGACAGAAGAGAGAAAGGCTGGGCTTGGTAGGAATCAGTTCAACTCTCCATGTCCTTCCTATTGGCGGGCCAGGATAGGTCAATGCCCTTGGCCGTCCAGCTGCCCTATTCTAAGGCTGGGTTTGGGAGGACCTTCCTGGGAGTGAGTAGTCCCTGAAGAAGATAGGGATGTGGCCAGTTTTGAAAAGCAAAGGGGCTTTGATGCCCTAGGGCAGGTGTCCTCAAACCATCGCCTGTGGGCCACATGTGGGTGTTTTTGCCTGTTTGTTTTTTTACTCCAAAATAAGATATGTGCAGTGTGCTTAGGAATTTGTTCATAGTTTTTTTTTTAAACTATAGTCTGGCCCTCCAACGGTCTGAGGGACAGTGAACTGGCCCCGTTTAAAAAGTTTGAGGACCCCTGCCCTAGGGTTTCAGGTATAGGAGTTATGGTGCTTCTGAAAATAATCATTTTTACTGTTAAGCATTTCTGACATGCAAACCTAGGAAGCTATTTCACTATTCAAAATGCAGACTAACAAAGTGTTATCTTCCTGACACATATCAGGGAGAGGAACCTTTTATTCTACCCAAATTGCACTGGTGGTTCTTTCCATTCACAAAAGAATTTCATAACTAAATGGGCAGCTTTAAACTTCCCTCTCTCTAAACTTAAAATAGCCCAGACAGGTCACCTACTGGGGTTAAAAAAAAATCCAGAAAATTCAATGTATGATTTCTACATAGAGAAATTCCCCTCACAGCAAAAAACAAAATAAAATATACCCCAATCCCCAAAAACATGACCATAAAGTAACATCTAAAAAGTTCCCTGATTAATTTATTTTAGAATCTATCCAAACTCCAAGAAAACTCATCATCAAACTCCATGGAAAAGAAATCATTGCTAAAAATAGAAGCAACTAAAGAGAAGTCATAGGAAATCATTACCTTATCATTGCGTTCACACAAGAATTTTAGTCTTTGAGCCCTTTTGTGCATGAACACACCATCCAAGTGACCAGTTTCCACAGATCGGATCTCTATGGCCTTCTCTCCCCAGCCCATGGTCTGATTGGACCGAATATATGCTTTTGGGAGGAAAAAATTACAAATTGTTGAAGATAGGGAAATAGCCTTGAAAAGATATCACTTCTGTGACACATAAAGATATAAGCCACCCCACCCTCCCAAAATGCCTAGCATTTAAGGATTTTTGTATTTAAGGAACTTTGCCTTTGTAACTGTCTAGTCTATCCTAGGAAGTAGTCATTAGCATCAGTGGTTGAATCTATTCATTTCCCTTAGGCCTTTCATCCTTATCTTAAAAAATGACCCCCTGAGTTTAGAGTTTAATGCACATTTTCATCAATCTGGTCATGAGAGAAGGCAGGGAGAAGAAATGAAGGGCAGACAGTGACAGTGACTCCGCTTCAATGAAAACAAGATAGTTTGGGGATATAAACAGAAAGCCATCAGACTTTCAAATTTTAGTCTTTACTCCTGAATGCAAACCAGAAGACTATGTATGAAGCTGTCTATCCAGCTGTAGCTCTGCCACACTCAAGGCAAATCACTTCCCTTTTTCTGTCTCCCTTTACCTTCCACAAATCAGTCAACAAAAAAAATCTGCCCTATTTTCTCTGGATGTTTTCAGGATTAAATGAGAGACTACGGTAACAGAGTTTTAAAAATTATAAAATAATTCCTTGGATTTTGTTCTACAATAAACCTAAGAGTATTTCCATGGTCTTTAATCTAACTTTGTACCATATATTGCCAACCACTCTGTTAAACGGCCAAAAGGTTTGAAAGGCAGCAAAATCAGCATGATGAATATATGCAGTCTTAGACAAGGCTCCACTTTCACAACTGCTGACTTTCCCCCCCAAGTGCTCCGTACCTACAGACGTGGGCATCTCTCCCCACTGCAGGACCACATCCTTGGTGATCCTTCCATATGTGTTCACGTAAACCCCCTCATCTTCATAGCACACCAGAAGTTCCATCCCATCTGTGTTGGGGAGGATGATGATTGCATGGGGTTTGATGCTACACTGGATCTAGAGAAGAGAACAAAATGCAAGGAAGCATGTTTGTGGCTATTTCCAGCCCTGTGAAAGTACTCAGTAAGACTGTCTTGGTGAATGCACTGGTACCATATCCCTGGTGATGAACAGAGCAATTAGATAACATTTTGGAACACCCGTGCAGTATATATCCCCAAGTCTATCTTTTATACGTCATATACTCTACTGACTCACATTTTCTGAGGCCCCTGAAAAGTATTTGGGTGGTGGGCTCCATTTGTGAACCACTTTCAACCCAGGGATGTTTTGACCTGCTAGCAACTGCCCCAAATCCAACCCATGTTAGTCAAAGCAAGAGCCTAAGAGGTTTTCAGGAGGGCTTCACAGAGCCAGGAGAGTGGATTTCCACTTGTCTTGGAGCATACAGCTACTGAAAATACCACATCACTTAAATACTCACCCCCACACCAAGGGGAAATGAAGAATCCCTGCTTGTGTTAGTTCACTAAGCAGAGGAAAGAAAAAAGTCAAAACAAAATGATGCCAGTCAACCAACCATAGAGTGTGGGTTCTTTCTTACGTGTGTTGGTAGATAAATGTCATAGACTGATCCCGAATCCACATCAACAGCATGGAATCCAGCACAGGATCCATAGATCACTTTCAACCTCTGGCCTTCCTCAACAGTGAGATCCACCAGTAATGGCTTATGTACCAATTCTCCAAAGGACTACAAAGAAGCAACCAAGAGAGAAGCAGTAAGATGAAGGAGAACTTCTCACAGATCAAAGGAGAGAAGCTAGACCCAACATACTCAGTTATTCAATTACTGAGCCATGCTAGCAACAGCGATAAAGCAATAATACTGTAAGGAAAGTCATTATTAAATGTTTTTGTCTGTTAATTAGTATCCGAAAGACACTTTCTTTCCCAAGTTGGGTCCCAAATCCCCCCTCCTCAGCCCAAGAATTCCACCCTGTCATCTACCCTGTTGTTTGTCTTGATCAGAAAAACATGTAAAGTAAAATAATGAGGACTTTCTGTAACATACTATCTAACTATTCAAATGCACAGTGGAGTGAGAGGAGGCACTGTTGGAGTCATGTACTGAGAATTTTATCACTATTAGCATCCTCATCACTATTTGAGCTATAAAGACCTCTACCCTTTCTGGCTAGACTGAAATGGTGATGAAAGCTAGATGTACTATTATATAATAGCCTCCATCGTGCTGGACGGCCTCTATTCTTCATACCCACATCTCTCAAGACTGAAAAAATGATGAAACAGAACAGATTTAAATAAGATAATACTTATAAATGCAACTAGTACGGCGGTACCTAGTACATAAAGGATATTGAGATGAGATCTTAAAAGATAATGTAACTTTAGAACAAATTATCTTTACTCAATAACATTTGGATTTCTTTTTTAACCCCATTTATCCCACTTTACTGGGAAATCAAGTAATAAGCAATTCAAAAATGTAAATTTTCCAAATAACTAAAACTTACCCCTTGAATAAAATATAGCAAAACTATTTTAAAAACCTAACCACCAGGCAATGTGAGGTAGAAATGCAACAACTCCATGCCTGTATGTGTGAACTCACACATGGAAACAACCTATTTTGTTTTATTTTTTTAAAACAGGGTCCTGCCCTGCTACCTAGGCTAAAGTGAAGTGGCATCATCATAACCCACTGCAACCTGAAACTCCAGGGTCTCAAGAGATCCTCCTGCCTCAGCCTCCTGAGTGGCTGGGACTATAGGTGTGCGCCACCATGCCTAGCTAATTCTTTAATTTTTTTAGAGGGGGGTCTTGCTATGCTGTTCAGGCTGGTCTTGGACTCCTGGCCTCAAGCGATCTCTCTCTTCTCCCACCCCATCGCCACTCGGCCTCTCAAAGTGCCAGGATTATAGGAGTGAGCCAGCCAACAATCCTCATTTTAAAACAAATATCCATTCTGTTACTTTCCTAAAACTGCATACATGCAAAATAATCTTAGCTTATACATTAATTTGGATGCTGTATCTAGTTTTCTAATTCCAATAAAAAAGGAATATTATACATATTAACTTGCTTTTTCCATGTAACATATAATATACATTCTTTGTGTCATTCACAATTTTTGTAATTTAATTTTTAATTAGTACCCTTTTGAGTACAACTTTAAACTGCCTGTTGTTGGACACTTTTTTATTAACAAAAACACATCTAAATCTTTATACACATCCATGACTTTAGGTGAAGGTCAGTTTTTTAAAATTTAAAAGAGGGTGGAAGTAGTGTTTTGTCTTTTCCTTTGTTACCCACAGTAGCACATGGGTCAACATGTCTGCCCAACATTTAGCTTTCTCTCCTCACACTCTGTGGGGTTGGAAAGCAAATTATGCTCATTACATTACATTAGAAATGGCTTCTCTTATGCTAAAGTTCTATGCCATATTAGCACATAACTTTTATATTATCAATTTTAACTGTTCAGACTTTTAAAACTTATGCACTAACTCTTTTGCACAGCTTGCATGGCTGATGCTGCTTTTTAAATACGCTTGGTGTTGTTACCTTAAAGGCCATAAATTTGTGATATGGCTTGGGTGCCCACGCATAGACTTCTACAGAACTCTTCAAAGCAATTACCAGAAATTTGATTCTTTCATATTTTACTGAAAAAAATAAATAACAGGCACAGGTCAGTATCAACATGGAACTCTAAATCACTTTAGTTGTCTTTAGCAAACTCAACATATATGATTTCTACTCAGTCGTCCTAACCAGCAGAGGAAAAACACAGAGAGCATGCCTCACAGTTTCCTTTTCCAATTCTGTAATGTGTAATCCATGCTGTTCCCATCTTTTTTTGATGTTGTGTTAGGCTCAACTCCAATACTCTGGATACCATCAATGAGTACTTTCACTAATGTTCCTAATCTTCTTAGATTCCAAGCATTTTATAATTAAGGACAATGCCAAGCATACCACCCTAAAGACTCAAGAATTCAGTATTACTTCAAAAAGACAATAATGTGATGAATTTGCCAAGAGACTCCTGAAACACAGAAAGAGGTCAAGGTCTTCCATGTAGCTGTCCCTAGTCCTGCATGGGACTGATGAACATAGAAGGCAATACCAAAATACTCACGGGTCTTTAATTCTATCAGTACACAAAAGTATCTGCACACAGGTCCAAGTATCACTCCAGAACATTTCCTGATCTACACAGGTAGTAATTTCTAGGATTCTACTTAAAGTTCTATATCAGAAGACCAGTAGTGAAATAAAATTCTTTTCCACTATTAAAAAAACTGCCTCTGGCCAGGTGGGGTGGCTCACGCCTGTAATCCCACCCAGCACTTTGGGAGGCTGGCAGGTAAGGGTGGGGATCACTTGAGGCCAGGAGTTCAAGACCAGCCTGGGCAACATAGCCAGATGGCATCTGTACAAAAAAATAAGAAACATTAGCCGCGCACAGTGGTGCACACCTGTAGTCCCAGCTACTCAGGAGGCAGAGGCAGGAGAATGACTTGAGCCCAGGAGTTTGAGGCTGCAGTGAGTTATAATTGAGCCACTGTACTCCTGCTTGGGCAACAGAGTGAGATATTGTCTCAAAAAACAAAAACCAAACAACAATAATAATCAAAAACAAAAACCAAAAACCCCCACAAAAACTGCCTCATTCCCATAGCTATTTTGGTTCCCTTATAGCTAGGCAGCTTTGCTAAAGCAGTGACCCCAAGGGTCCCTGAGCACACATAACAGACTAGAGTCTGATGTAGATACACAGTTTCTTTGAGAGATAACCTGTTAACTTGATAACTCTCATTGTTCAACTCCATATATTATCACTGTTCTAATAAATCAATGACATTAATATATTGTCAGACACAAAGGCTTATGACTGGCTAACCCAACCAGACTGTTGAACAGAATTTTCCACAATGATGGAAATGCTTTACATCTGCACTGTTAATACGATAGCCACTGAACACATGGGGCTAGTGGGCACTTAGAATGCACTAGTGCCACTGAGGAACTAAATTTTAAGGTTTATTTAGTTTTAATTAATTTAAATATACATTTAAATACTTCCCTGTTCTTGGAGATAACCATAAAGATAACTATATTAAAACTCACATTATCTCCTGAAAATACTTGTGATTCATTCTGTAAGAGTAACAGGCTTGAAGACTACTGATTACTGTTCTGCTCTGCTTAAAAGCCCAATACAATCTAACACTTCTGCCTCTGGTGCCCCCTGTAGGATAATCTATTCATGCATATTTCAGCTGTTAAGAGCTGTTTCATTAAATTTAGCCTTAGATGATTTTAGCAATACCTCAACAAACAAAAATACTTCACATAAACACAACACAGAAAATCCTAATCCCCAAATCTATACTGAGATATTACTACTCTACACAACCACTCAGAATCATTCCAAATACTGAGGTGGCTCCTGTCATTACTATTAATGAGCTGAACGTGTGGTACACAGACTATACAACACAATCAAGGATGGTAACAGCCCGGGGCACAGAGGAACTGACTATAGTAAATACTTTCATAAACACATAAAAAGAGTAACACACAAGCAGACACTCGATAGGTCCCTAACATTAATCAGTCTTAGGTATACAGATCTACTCCCTACTTTAAATTCTATTAGAAATATTGGGCATGCTCAGGGTGGCATGCCCATAGACTAAATTCTATTAGAATATATCATCTTCCCTATAAAACTCTGATTAGGCTAAGGTCCATTATTTCCCCTTGATGTCCAACATCAGTATCAGTATTTTGATTTTTTTTTTTCATTTTAAAAAAATTGTTTTGCTTTTGTTCCTGTGAGATTTTACTTCATGAGAATCACTGCATTCATGCCAAGAAGAAAAAACAATGTGGTTGCTGTGAAACATGAATGGGCCAGCTAGGCTCATTTACCAGTGAAAGCACAGTGCACTTCATTCAAAATGACAAAACATAATCCTCTGGGTCAAACTCTCAAACACTCTATCAGTGCCTGCCAAGGACCCACAGTCCTCTCAATGGAGAATAAGCCCGGGTGTGTAAGGGAGGACTCCAAATCAGCTGGCTTTCATTTGGCAAGGCTTCCTTAAAGAGATTACTCTGCGGCACATCTTACAGAAGAGAAGAATGTGGACTGCCAAAGAGAAGGGGTGAAAAGACTCAAAAGATGCATGGTGTGAGGGAACCGGAGGACAGAGCCAGCTGCAGGAACAAACTCTATGTTACACATATTGGCGCATAGAGGGAGTAAGACAATGTCTAGATGAGACTTCAAGAAAATGTCTTAGAAAAAGAATACCAGAAATCAACCACAAGTTTCAGAAATAAGTTTATTATTACAAGCTTTGAAGAACCCATGAATTTTAAACTGAACCCTAACTAAATTCTGGAAAAACAAACACTTAACAACCCTCCTAGAACTTACCAACTTTATAGTGTACACATCCTTCCAAATCCCCTACAGTTGTCCATCCCTGCTTCTTCTCAACTTCTGGATCGTTGTGCAGTATTTTATTTCTTAACCAGGACAAATAGTAGACACGTAACTTATCCTTTTTGCCTAGCAAAATAAATATAAATATTTTACATGCATATTCAGAAGTTGCTATCATCATTAATAAAAATAGTAACCAAAAGAAACTTCCATAAACATTAAGTATCATTTCCTTTAATGGAACCATTTTATAACAAAACTTTACTAGAAACTTAATTCAAGCTATTCAGATGGACTTTTGAACCCTTACAAAATTATCACTGGGTGTACGCCTGGGCTAGAAGGAAAGGTTTTTTTAAAAAAAACTCACATTTATGTAGACGGATATTACCAATAAACCAAAAAGTAATACAAACAAATGCAAACAATACAACAAATAGAACTCATAGGATGCTTTCACATGTATTATGCCATCTGATTCCGAAAACCCTCTAAATTAGCTATTAGCTCCCATTTGACAGATGAGCACAGAAGGGTTAAATCAATCACCCAATGCAAAGACTTAAATCTAGTAAAAGGCAAGTCACAAGTTAGAGATGTGCACTACTTAAATAGCTGACAAAGGATTCACAGATATAATATGTAAAGAACTCCTATCAATCAAATAGAAAGTTAACCCAGTAGAAAAACTGGGCAAGCCACTAGAACAGGAACTTTGCAAAAGAAGTGATCTCACAGATACACAGAAAGAAAGGTGCTTGCTCTCAACAGTCAATAGCGAATATATGTTAAAACAATAATGAGACAATTTCATACACCTATCAGGATGTCTAGAATTAAGAATACTGATAACATCAAAGGTAGGCAAGGTGTGGAGCAACCAGGAACTTTATAAACTGGTGTTGTAAACTATTAGAACCATGGGGAATTCATAGCAGCATTGTTCATAATAGTCCCAAAAAGAAAACAACATTAATATCTGTAGAATGAGTAAACAAATTGTGGTGTAGCCATAGATAGTTTGTTTTGTAGAAACAAACTACAAGCAACAACAACAACATAATGATGTTGACCAAACACAGCCACAAATTCGCATCAACAAGCTAAAGAAGAAAATTCATATCAATAGATGCAGAAAAGGTATCTGATAAACCCCACACCTATTCATGATAAAAACTCTCAGGAGAATAGGAATAGAGCAGAACTACCTCAATTTGATATGAAAAATATACAAAAACCCTACAGCTAATATACTTAATGGTGAGAAACAAATGCTTTCTTCCTAAAATTGAGAATAAGGGAAGGATGTCTCCTCTTACAGCTCCTATTGAAGATCATACTGGGTGTCCTAGCTGACGTAGTAAGACAAGAAAAAGAAATAAAAAGTTAAAGGATTGGGAAGGAAGAAATAAAACTGTCTTTGTTCATGGAAGACATGACTGTCTTGATAGAAAACCCCAAGAATCAGCAAAAAAAAACCTCCTGGAACTAATAAGCGATTATAGTGAGGGTTGTAGGACACAAGCCTAATGTATAAAAGCCAATCACTTTCCTATGTACTCGAACAAATAATTAGAATTTGAAATTAAAAACACCATTTTTACTAGCACTTACAAAAAATGAAATAGCTATAAATCTACCAAAATAGCCCTTTTCTAGATCTGTTTAACCATTTCAGTACCATAGTAGATAGCCACAAATGAACGCGCACAGCCAAGTGCCGACTTTAGCCGACAGCCGTGATATGAAGGCGCACAGCCAAGCATCGACTTTAGCATGAATAACAAAACTTCTACAACAGTACTCTGAATCGAGGCAATACAACTCTTGTACTGCATCAGAAAATCTCATGCATTTTACAGAAAGACATTTTCCAGCACCTTACAATAGTGATAAAACAAAAAGGAAAAATCCATTAAGAAGATGTATGCTCAAAAATAATAAAAGACGTAGTACTAGATACTATTGTAAACAATGTAATGTTGGCCTATGTGTAGCCCCATGCTTTGAAATTTATCATACCAAACAATAAAATTTATCGTAATATTAAAAAACTTGCCTTATTTCTTTATGATATGGATAAAATAAAACTATAATTTTGAATTGACTTTTCCAATTTTTCATTTATCAAAATAAAATTGTGAACATTTAAAAATAACATAATAAAAACATATATGTATATGTTGCCTATTCTGATTTACAGTACAAGTAAAGCTGCCTGTAAAGTAAAACAAGCTTTCAGTGCTTTAAAGTTTTCCTCATCACACAAGAGCAAAACGGATTCGTCGTCAATGCACAGCACAAACTATCGTGCGGACTATGAGTGCTGGCTGTGGGCAAGCTTTCGCGGCCAGTGAGCACCGTACCGAAGTGGTTAAGGAAAACTACAAAACTCTGATGAAAGAAATCAATGAAGAACTAAATAAATGGAGAGATATTTCCACGTTCATGGATAGGAAGACTCAATGTTGTTGAAATATCAGTTCTTCTTAACTTGACATACAGATCCAACGCAATTCCAATCAAATCTCAGAAAGTTATTTTATACATATCGATAAAATGTCAACACAGTATTAAAAAAGAACAATGTTGAGACATTAGTACTTTGAGACCAGAATCTGCCAAACTCATTTGCCAACAAATTAATAAACTTCTCTCCTCATAAAAAAAAAAAAAAAAGGTTGGAAGATTGACAGTACCTGACTCCAAGATTTACTATAAATTTACAGTAATCAACACAGTGTAGGTATTAGCAAAAGAATAGACTAATAGATCAATGAAACAAAATAGAGAGCTCAGAAACAGATCTACACAAATGTAGTGAATTGATCTTTGGCAAAGGAGCAGAGGCAATGCAATGGAGAAAGGACAGACTTTTAAACAAATCCTGCTGAGACAACTTATTCACATGCAAAAGAAAATGAATCTATGCAGACTTTGAAATACTCACAAAAATCAACTCAAAATGGATCATATACCTAAATATGAAACACAAAGCTATAAAGCTTCTAGAAAATAACAGAAGAAAATCTAGGTGGTCTTGGATATAACAATGACTTTTTAGATATAATACCAAAAACACAACTCATGAAAGAATAAACTGACAGTTGGATTACATTAAAATTAAAAATTTCTGTTTTGTAAAAGACATCATTAAAGAGAAGGAACAGACAAGCCACACAAACAGGGAGAAAATATCTGCAAAACACTTGTATGATAACAGACATCCAACTCTTAAAACTCAACAGTAAGAAAACAAATAATCCAAATACAAAATGGACTAAAGATCTGAGCAGATACCATACCAAAGACAAAAGACATACAGATGACAAACACATGAAAAGATGTTCAGCATCATATATCATTAAAGAATTGACAATTAAAATGACATGCACCTACTAGTTCCTATGCACCTATCAAAATGGCTAACCTGCGAAACACTAGAAAAAAGTTTATTAAAGAAAGTATAGAAGAAAAGTTTATTTAAAACAAACAAACAAACAAACAAACAAACAAAAAAACACCAGAAGTAGCCGCCACAGAAATACACATGATTTTACTATTGTGTAATTTAGCTCAATAAAGGTGAAAACCAATCTATGGTGCTCAAAGTCAGGACAGTGCTGGGGGGAGGGGGGGCGACAAGCCACACAAACTGCAGGGGGCAATGCCTGGGTGGCAGCACGAGACACCCTCTAGATGCGGGGAATGCTCAGTTTCTGCAGCAGGCCAGGGACTGCCGGGATGGATTCTATCTGTGACACCCATGGAGCCATATGTGGATCTGTGTAGGTCATAAATCCTCCTAACTTCTGAAGAACATTTTGTGGGAAAATGTTCAGGATATGTTAAGTGAAGAAAAAGACCACATAGTTTTATGTATAATGTTTTGTTCCCATAGTGTGAGATATATTTATTATGTATATAACATAAAAAGTTAACAAGCATTCTCTGAGATAGATGTCACATGTTGTTTTATTTTTCCTAAGTTTTTTCTCTTTTTGAAGCTTCCCACAATTGATATGTGTTACTTTTATGACTGTGAAAACCATTAAAAGCTACTAAAGAGTAAAAAAATATAGTAAAGTGACCAAAAAATAATCACTACTATCAGCTACATGTTGATTCCCACAATTGTCTCATTTCACTGGATCAAAAAATAAAGTTTAAACTTTTAGCTGCAGATTGGTTATTTTTTCTCCAATTATAAAAACTTCCTCATCAACACTAAAGTTTTAAATGGATGCTTTCTCATTTAAGTAAAAAATAGTGAAACTTTTGCATTTAACAAACTTCTTTACTTACAACCAAAAGCATATATAAAAAGTAAAATAACTGCGAGCAAATCTGTTACAGATAAAGAAATATAATAAGCTTACAGTAGCAGATATTTAAATCAAAATCACTGGTGGTCTAACAAGACTTATTTAAATTCTTGTAATTTTATATACCTTCTGATCTGGCAATAACACAAATTTTAGGAAATTACAATTTATGCAACATGGTATATTCCCCCAAAGGTTAAATTAAGGTACAAGGATATTTGTGAAAAATGTTTACATGAGAGAAAGAAAAGGGAATAAACCTAAAGGGCAACGACAGACGATAAGTAAATAAATTTTATCACATCTATGCAAGGAAACATTCTCTAGCCATGTAAAATGTACGGACACCACGGAGAAATGTTTAATGGCATGGAATAAGCAGGCTACCTGTTTGGATCATCAGGCATGGATGGGATACACCCTAACTTCAGGACAGTGGTCGCCATGGGTGGGGAGATGTATTGTGACATCTGTGAAAGCTGGCTAGTCGATACATGGCTGCTGTCATTCCTCATTATTCTTCTCTGTATGTTTGAAATACCACATAACCTTTCTATGCAGACTTTTTTCCTTAAGTGTTTATACTGAGTGTGGCATATGCTTATAAGATTGGAAGCTAAAAACTTAAAAGTTAACAGATGTTATCTCTGGATGATTTTACTTTTTATTTCTCCTAGTTCCTTTTCTGCAATAGTTTCTTACTTTCTAAAATCAACACATATAATTTATATTAGGTTATTAAAGATGAAATGTCTGATTTCCTTAAGTACTAAGTCTGACAGTTGATATCTCTGACATTTCACTTTGACACTTCTTATTTTTTTATTGTGAAGGTGCATCCCCATTCCTTCAAATACACATTTTGGTTTGCGATTATCCTTTAATTTTTTTTTAGAGCAATTTTTGTGAAACCATGGATAGAAAAGTCAAAAGTTCATGTTATTTCTGAATATGAGTTCTATCGTGGAACCAATGCAGCAAAGACAGCTCAAAATATCAACGGAATGTTTGGCAAGGATGTGGCTAATGAATGCACAGTACATTGATGGTTTGATAAGTTCCATTCTAGTGATTTTAATCCTGAAAATGAGCCAGGTGGGTGACCTGAGACCAAGGTGGATAACGATGAGCTGAAAGCTGTAGTGGAAACAAGTCCATCTCAACCTACTCGTGAATTAGCAGCAAGGTTTGACATTACTACTCCAACAATACTGGACCATTTGAACCAAATGGGCAAGGTAAAGAAGCTGGATAGATAGGTTCCGCCTGAATTAAATGAACATCAGAAGAGAAATCGTATTGAAGCTTGCCTTTCTTTGCTGTAACAATACAAAGGTGAACCATTTCTACACCATATTGTTACATGTGATGAATATGGATTCTTTTTGACAATCACAAGCATGATGGTTAGATAAAGATGAAGTGCCAAAACACAGTCCAAAACCAAATCTTCATCAAAAAAAGCTAACAGTGTCTGTTTGGTGGTCTAGGGTTGGTATTATCCACTATAGCCTCATGAAACCTGGTCACTCAATTACAATGGATGTCTACTGCAACCATTGGATGAAATGATGAAAATGCATGTGATTAAGCAGCCAAGATTGGTCAACAGAGACAAGCCAATCCTTTTACAAGACCACATTTACACAAAACAATGCTGCTCAAACTACAGTAGCTGGACTTGGAAACTCTCCATCATCTACCATATTCCCTAGACCTTGCAACCAACTGACGACCACTTCTTCCAGGCTTTGGACCACTTCTTGCAAGGAAAAATATTCAGTTCTCAACAAGCTGTGGAAAACACCTTTGACAATTTCATTATCACTTGCTCTCCAGGCGTCTTTGCTGCTGGCATAAGCAAACTCCTGTTAAGATGGCAAAACTGTGTTGACAGTTTAGGCACACACTTTAATTGAACTGCTTGTTTGAAATATAATAAACTAAACTTTTGATTGGAAATTGGACATTTCATATTTAATAACCTACTACAGAGAAAAATGCTGTTTTTAAAAAGAAGAAATTTATACTGTTAAGTATTAATTGACATAAGAATAAAAAACATAATGCAATAATCACAAAGAATAGTTCCTTTTGCATGTAAAAGCCTGGGAGGGAATGGACACAGACCTGCATACTGGGTAAGGCAACTGAAACCTAACCAGCAACAGAGGGTTGGCCGGGTGAGTCATGCATAAGATGCCGATGAGAGAGCACATGTTTGTATGCTTTTCAAGACTGTTTTCTGGAAGGGCTACAGGTCAAATGGGCATGTATGTGTTACCTGAATATATCTTACTTTCACATTATTATAAAATCACAATACAGTTCTATCTCATTTAACCAGTACTTTGGAGAACAAACACCCTAACGGAAGTTTGGTGAGTAAAGCTTAAATATTTTTAAACAGTATCATATATTCTGTTTTACTAAACAAACACTTACCAGATATTGTCACCAAGACATTCAAGCCCTCAAGTACATCCATTTGTTGAAATCGTCTTCGGTTGATCAGAGGATATACCTTCCCTTGGCCACTTCTGTCCAGCAGCATCAGGCCACTCTCTGTACCCACTAGTAAATTCACTCCTGTTTCAGGGACAGAGAAAAGCCTCAATGTTATGCTATGCTTAACAAATAGCCGAATTGTAAAGAATAACATCATCTATTTGGAAAAAAGTGCAGCTTCTTTAATTCACCCAGAAAAAGAAATGATTTGAATAGTCAGAGGTTAATGTAACCAAACCTGCCATCACATCACCATAGGCGTGATGGTCCCATAGTTCCTTAATCCTTACGGGAAGATGGAAGCCTCACTCTCGCTATGTCCTTAACAAACCATCAGTTTCCAGTTCTTCCTCCGTTGCCCCAAAATGTTTAAGCACACAATTTCATGGCAGATTCAGCATCTAATTAGCCACATTACACACTTGAACAAACCTTCATGTGACACCATGGTCTCTTTGTACTTCCTTCACCTCTGTTTTCATCAGCAAACTTAGAGCCCTCCTCCAACCCTTAACAAATGGCTTGTGATTTGGCGTCTATCACTCAGTTTAAACTTTTCTAAAAGACCCCTCTTCGCCACTATCAAAAAACAACTGCACTCAATTCTCCTGTCACTCTATTTTTTAGGAAAATTAAAATATTGTGACCTTCCCATGCAACCTCCTCGCTCTCTGACCATGTACTGTCATGGTTTTTCTTCTCTTCTGTTGCAGTATGAAGTCCCCTTCCTTGTTTCCAGGCACCTCCTCTGCCTTCTTAAAGAGACCCTCCCTGTTGCTGTCTATCTGATGACCCATATCCACCTGTGCTCAAGCAGCACCTCAGAACCAGTAAACCCTAATGCCATACTGCACCCCCTGCTTTTCCGCCCACTACACATTTCTACTGAAACCAGCTTCCTGACTTTTGCCATTTCCATCAACAGCACCACCCTCTTCCACAGCCGCTCTGCAAAATTAGCTAAACTAGCCACCAAATCCAGATAAGACCTCCTCTTCTCTGTCCCTCCTTTCTGCTGCTCTCAGAATTCTCTAGGCTTTGGCAGCCTTGTAATTGATGGACAGAGATCTTAACTGAGGTTGCTAAAACAGTTTCCCTCTACTTTCTCATGAAAGCATATCAAATCAATGCTAAGTGCCCTAAAATACTCATTGAGTCACACTGTATCTTCAAAAACTACAAACTCCATGTAGGAGATGTTCCAAGAGCCTCATATTGGCATTCAAGACTCCCTGTCCCTTGAGCGAACTTACTTCTCCCTCTTTATCATTCACTTATTTCCCCATATGTTCTCGGTTCCTTGGTCAAGAACCTTTATTACCTAAACTGCCTTTGTAACATGCAGCACAGATCACCTTATACTCCTAGGGAACCGGCCACATACATGTTTACCCTAATTCCCGAAACTGGGCAATAAACTCACTGAGACAAAGAATAAAGTATACGTGCTTTTACAAAGTGATTACTCAATCAGTATTTTCAGGTAGATGGAATGACAGGGAAGAATATCATGGCATGTGTACAGACACACACACACACACACGCCCTATTTATAGAGAATCTAAAATTAATAACTATGAAGGCAACAAGACAACAGCCCTCCTAAAGCCCTCTCTCAGCTCTGTGTCTGTGCCAGATTGAGTGGGTATCACCTCAACATTTAGAGGACAGTGTCTACTCAAGTGATCCTTGTGAGGAAACTGGAAGCACCTTTTGGGGTCGTGTGGGGGAGTGGGGAACCTGGAATTTATACATATATTGTCACTGCTATGCAAACTTGAATGAGAACTGCAGTGATTAAGGTCACACATGGATGACAGAAACATGCCCAAGCACCACAGGCTCTGAACTATCATAATACCACCCCTGTAGTCCTCAGAAAATATAAAAAATGTAAAGAAATCTTTATGAATTCAAGAGATAGACAGCTACAGTTTTTGATAATAATATGACCCGATAAAAGTGCCCCATTTAAAATCTACTACTCAACACACAACGCCATCTTCCCCTTGTAGAAACAGTGCGTGTTTTATAAGAGCATCCCTATGCACACACCTCCACCTCATGACAGATGCTCTCCGTCTGGTGCTAAGACAGTTTGCTAGAATCTAACACAGCTCTGTGAAATAGCTTCAGAAAATCTGAAGGAAGCCTCTGGAATTAGGGGGAAAAGGGAAGGCCTGAGTATTCCCTGCTTCCCATCCAGAGTGATCTTTAAAATAAACGTAACAAGAACTGCCCAAAATGGTCATATGTACAGCATAAGGAAAAAGGCTCATAGATGCTTATGGTTTCTTATATCATCTATAATTAAGATCTTTAGAACTTTCTACTATGACACAGAAATGCTCTTTATCTGTGCTGTCCGTTAGCCAATGGCCATATGTGGCTACTGAGTATGTGAAATGTGACTGGTATAACTGAGAAAATGGATTTTCTATTTTAATTCATTTGAATTTAAATAGCTACACAAGGCTGGCAGCTGCCCTAAACAGACAGCACTGCTGTGGGTGACACTGACATTTTATACATCAGGTCATATCACGGCATGAATTAATGCTTATGGCCTTACACTTTTTAAGCTTATAGTAAGCTGTTATGTTTTTATGAGCTTTCTTCTTTAAAAGAACTATCATATTTGTCATATAATGACTTAATGCTAAGAAAAAAACTGCTGTACAATTTAAAAACAGATTTATCAGTTTAAGAAAAATTAGTATTTCATATATGTAGTATGTTATACTCATTTTCATATAATTTATTTTTGACATTGACCATTTTGCCCTGACTCTATCTATATCAAGGTAGAATTTATTTGAACATTGTGCTTAGTGCTTTCCCTGCCTAGGTGAGTTGATCTAAACAGATTAAAAGGTATCCATAGAAATGACATTTACTGAGAGAGCCACTGACAAACAGCCCTTTCCAAAGATTCTATTCTATGTAATATTTCAATATATTCCTGGTCAGTCTTCAATATCAAGTAGATCAGGAAATAAGCTATGTCAAGAATCTGATAATAACTACACAAATTGTTAGCACTGTGAAGAAATCCTATTATTTATGGTTTCCAAAAATAAACAGCATGTAAGTACCAACCTCAAAATTTACAGTGAGAAAGAATAAAGAAAAATCAGATAATGCTAAAAAATCTTCACATAAAATTTCAGATATTTCGGCACTCATACTCTACTTTTTAATTTTCCTTCATATATTTCCAAGAAATGTATAATTTTGTAAAGTAATGAGAGCTAACAGTCAAAAGAATATAGACACAGTCACTGAAAAGTAACAACCTTGGAAATTATGGGCCTATGAAAAAAACTGAGTTCCATGCTACAAGAATTTTTTATAAATATACTTTTTAACCTTTCAACTGTTATATATAATTAAATAATGCTTATAATAAGGCTCCCTACCCTGATCATTCTACTAAGAATTATAATTGTGTTTACAGGAATCCTCTGTAGGTCAATGTGAGAAATGACTAAGATCACTACATGATTTAAGACTTCCTTTAAGGCCAGCATGGTGGCTCACACCTGTAATCCCAGCACTTTGGGAGGACCAGGCAGGAGGATCACTTGAGGACAGCAATTCAAGACCAGCCTGTGCAACATAGCGAGACCACATCTCTACAAAAAAAATTTTTTAATTAGCTGGATGTGGTGGTACATGCCTATAGTCCCAGCTACTCAGGAAGCTGAAACAGGAGAATCACTTGAGCCCAAGAGTTTGAGGTTGCCGTGACCGTACCACTGTACCCTAGCCTGGGCAACAGAATGGGACCCTGTTTCAAAAAAATAAAAAACCCTTAAATTCTATGATCAATATGATATTATAGCAAAGCTCTACATAAGAAATACATGTAACTCATTATAAACATGAGAATGGAAAAATCATGTTCAAAAAGATGTGCTAAAATAATCCTGGCTCCAACAGAAGAAAAGCACCTTATTAAAAAATAAATATGTAGCAATTTGCAGAACAAGAGTCATTACATGATTATAAAAGAATGCTTGTTGCAAACATTTCCTAGGAAATACAAAAAACTAATCTATGTGTGAATTCTACCATCCCCAAATAATGATACTTATAATGTATTCTGAATGTCCTTCTGTTGGGACATTAGTGTATATACTGTATCTTTTAACTTTTCTGAGTCTAAGTCTTTAAGAGGCTTATTTTTAACTTAACTCACAAGGCAACTAATGATGACTATTTAAGAAGCAGTTTAAGAAAATCCACCATTGGTGTGTCCCTAACTAAGAAATATCTTAAATACACTGACTTATAGAAACATACTTCAACTTAAGTCATTTCCCTATCTATTCTTTTAACATAATAATAAAATGGAAAGTTTCACTGCATTTTTAAAAACATAGGTTCCAGATAATCTATTTTTCTTAGAAGTACTAAAGAAGTTAACTGGGAAAAGAAGGTTTTAGAAATCTTTTTAATTAATAAAAAATCAGTTAACAGCACACAGAAGGGGGTCCAATATGTTCTGGGACATTAGAGGAATATAAAATAAGTATAAGACTATTACCAAGTGTAACTATGCTGGATAAAAATGACATCACCTGCTTAATATGCATTATCAATTTCAAAAGAATTGACATATTTAACACTATCTCTACACCAAATATAACGTAATAATTTTTGATGACACAAACGGTCCCATGAAAGGCCTTTAATGTAAACAAAAATGATGAAGGCTCCATTTCCTGCAATGACGGTCACTAACGTTAATGAACAGCAACATACTGGTGACAATGTTGTGCCTGCTGCTTTCGTGTGATGCCCACAGTCACCCAAATTACTAAGGTTATCTTTATTTAGGAGGTTAATAAAGAAAAGACCTTACGGTATGATCTCTGGGGACTACAAAATAATCTTTCAGTAGACAAGGGCAGAAAGCCAGATCTCAGGGGGTCACAGAGGAAGCACATGTGTCTGCCATGGGTATAAACACTCTTCCAAAACCCTTGGCAGAGAGGCTGAGCAAGGGCTGCTGACAGGGGAAGAGAGCAGTCAACAACAGAGAGAAGTCGAGAAGGGGGAGCAGAGGAAAGGTGAGGGGCTCAATATTCTCCCTATACACAGAAACAAAGTACCTGTTCCATCTTTTCACTTTTCTTTTTCACACGAAGAAATGGGCACTGGTCATGCTTTCCAATATTTGACTGCTGAAAGGGGTGCAAATACACACACACATACCACACTGTTCCACTAATGCGCCACTTAGCCAACAGGAGATGGGCATCACGAATATCTTCAATCCCATTACCAGTGCCCCCCCAAAATACCCACACTACTTAAAATAGTAAGTCTCTAAAAGACCAGAGCACCTTTCAGAATAAAAATGAAAGAGTTGGAGTAGCAGTAAGATACCTACCCCATAAGGCAGCACACAGAATCTCAGAGTTAAATCTCTTCTTATATTTACGAATCTCTGGGGTGTCACTCTGTGGCCTAGTGTTGGTGGGGTTCACATTGACCACTGAGCCTTTCCGGGTAGGATCTTGCCTTATGGCTTCTGGTCTCATTCCATCACAGGAAAACCCCACTGAAACAGAACACATTTGAAATTATTTTCTGTACACACACAATGTCTGCCTCCCTTCCCCCACACCTCAAGTGAATATTCATATGCCATAACCAACACTTGGTTAAGGAGAAGAAATTTATAAGAAATGTATATGGAGAAAGGAAATCAATTATGCAGCTCATTGCAAATAAGGCAATGCAAGTGGGATGGGGGGATTGTACCCGAGGTCTGTGGCTGTGAACACTGATCATGCCATGCCTAAGCCACCTGACAGAGCAACTCAAAGGGACTGAGTCCTGTTTGTCAGCTGCTTCCTTATTGCTACTGTACTTACCCACAGAAGTCACTGTTGTCCCACTAGATGGAGAAATCTGTAGTAATCTGGGGTCTATAAAAGGTGTAAAGGAGGAGGAAGATTTGTGTTTCTGGAGTGTGCTACTAGCGGACTGAGTCTGCAATGTAAATTTCAATTTTATTAATACAAATGACATTTTTAAAAATGAACATTAAAAAAACATTTCAATTCACTTCTACACTGCACTATTTCCCAAGACAAAGCCCTATATCTCTTGCATCATTCCCCAAAAGTGCTCTGCAGGGAGCTTCCAATGGGCACAGTTTACCCCAGAACAGGTGTCGCTCCATCCAGAACCACTGCAGGAGCCACATCTCTTTCAGACATACTGCTCATCCAAGACAGTGATGCTGCAAGCTACCAATAAAATCGACACTTCATGCTCCTAGCTTTTTTTTTTTTATTAAATAGTTATAATGAAAACTCCTAAAAGAAATCTAAAATGTCTTGATCTCAATTCACCAGTTTCTGAATTTACTCACCTACCCAGAAAAGTTAATCTATGTTGGAATATTTGCAAATTTTAATTTTATTTTTTTTAAATTGAGCCTCTTGCCAGAAAGCTACAGAAGCTTTGGCTACCACTGTTTTAGGTGCATCACCATTAAACCCATACCAAACAGGAGCTCATTAGTGAAAGGTGCAAATGACAAAATAAGGCATACCCTTTTGAACTTTTAAGAGTGCTAGTGTTTTGGTTAATACTGTAACTTAAGACAAAAAAACACAAAGAAAGTGAAACAAATTGTTAAGTGGAAATGTAATGACAATTAAAAACAAAACAAACAGAAAAATAAATAAACTTGCCAGTTTAGTGAGTTAAGAGTTATAGTAAAATACTGTACATTAGAGCAAAATGGAGCAAAAATTAAAATATAAGGAAGAATGTGAGTGTAGGTGGGATATATATCTCGGGGGGAAAAAAGAACACGTCCAATTTTGTCCTGTAGCATTTCACCCCCTCTGTGGGCACCTGAGAGTCACTATGTCTGAGAACCCAGGCCCTCCTAAGCTCCCCACCTGAACACCTGCCACTGGCAGGCTTCCCTCCCTGTCCCATAAGTCAGTGGCCAATCCAGCCAACGACCAATCTGATGCCAAGGCTATCTATCTAGGAAGCAGTTGACTTGCCCCTGCTCCTTAAAGAGAGGATTTTTCTGATTCTTTCTAACAAGAGAACCAAAGTAGGAGTGGGCAGTCAGTTAAGTGTTTACATTAACAAGATAGGCTGAAGCTACACATCAGTTTTGACCTCCATCAACTGTTAGATAAATGCATTTAAACCAAGCCTCATGTGAATTCAAATCACTTGTTTAATTAAATACAGGGTGTTCAAGGTGGGCTCTGTCACTGCACTTGGGGCAGAACCCTGTTTAAAGAGCAAAGAATCATCCAGCTAGCACCCAGACTGAGCACCACAGCCAAGCCTTTGAAGCAGAACACAGGATTTCTCATATAAAATCTTAAATTAAATACGCTCTCAGATCCTTGTCTTTCTTGCTTAACATCCTAATTTTCTAGGTTTCCCCAAAAAGGATTTGGCTTCTTAAACTCTGAGTGATTGTGACTTTCATGGAAAGAAATCCCTTTAACAAGGTTGGTGAAAACAAATAAGAGTGATTAATCAGCAACCACCCCCTCCGAAAGGAAAAAAAAAAAAAATCCAGCCCTGGTTTTAAAGATATTCCATTCCTGTTCAGGATAACAAGTCTGTCTAGTTAAGTCCAAGTCTGCTTAACCAAATTTTCCTATACTTTATTAGATAAAAAGAATGAAAAAGGCAGAATCCACAATGACTATAAGAATTTCATGCCAAATACATAATGGGTCTGAGAACACAGCAATCATTTTATTTAGATTTAAAAAAAAATAAACTGAATAAAGAAAGCCATGCAACTACACTTATCCAGAGACAAGTAAACAGTGAACTGGCAAGTTTGGAGGGAAGTTGATCTAGGGTTAAGGGATTTGTATGCAGATCTGAAACATGTTACTTGGGGTAGGGGAAAAGGATAGGTGACAGAGAAAGCAGGGTGGGTAGGGAAGGGCTGAGGGTGTTGGAAAGGTCTCCTTTGCAAACTAGCTCCTAGGCAGTGCTGGTCTAACCCCAGGAAAGCAGCCAGCTGTGGTGCGAGACATACCTCATTAGCAGTGAGCTTGTCCTGGGGTGTCTGTGGGGACATGGTGGGTGTCGGCTGGCTGGAGGATGGGGAGGAGGAGGTGGAGGAAGTGGAGGAGGAATGGCTTTGCTGTAAGAGATCTGGCAAGAGGTGAATGCGACCGGCAAAGCCATTGCTCTCATGATGGCTGGCACGCTTTTGGTCAACTGTACTCTGTAGAAAAAACAGGCACACTTGTCTCGCTCAAGCGCTGCTGAAATTGCCTACAACCCTACTGATAACTGCTTTGTTTAAGGTGCTGTGTGACTTTTCAAACTTTGCTAAATTACCAAGGAAAAAACCAAAGAAATTAGCCCGAATTGTTCATACTTCCTTGCCAAATGTCTAAGTTGAGCCAACAGAATTAAAAGTACCTAATCTGGTGGCCACATAATTCAAGTAGTGAAGGTTTAATGCAGTCTGTTGTACTAGCTTCTGTTACCAAAACCACTATTCCTTTATTTTTCTTTTAAATCTTCCTGTCTGAAGTTCTAGAAAGTACCCCATGACTTCTCTGAATCCTGGTCTTTTCCATGTTCTTCCTACGTTCCATCCAAATGCATTACCATAGCATGAAACACACTCAGGGCAAAGTCCAAAATACTAGATGGGTGCCCTGTTCTATTTAAATGACAAGCATATCACTTTAATTAAGTCTAAGCTAAGAAATTTACAGACAGTTATAAAAAACTTGGTGATCCAAACTGAGCACATCTGGGTGGCACACATTTAATTACTCAACAGGTGAGAAAACTAACATTTTGGAACACAGAGGAATGACCTCCCAACCCTTTGGTTCTCCAAGTCTCTGGGGCTGTAATGAGGCTCGCCCTGCCCGACTTGCCCGCTCCTGCTGCAGCACTTCAGACGCTTGGAGTGAGTGCGCTCTGCAGGGCCACTGTGGCTGCTCTGCCGCACCAGACTGGCTTCCTCACTCTGCAAGCCTGCTAAGGACTCCCCGTGGCTTTTCTACCGCTCAGACACAGACTGTGAGACTCAGTGCGGTGCTTGAATGAGGGCTGCCGCAGACATGCAGAGAAGCAGCGATGTGGGGTGGAGGACTACGTGCTACCTTCTGGGCATGCAGCACACACCTGCCTCCCTAGCCCCCAACACTCAACACTCTACCCTCTGGGACTTGTTAACATGAAAACAGATGATGATGTAGAAACAGCATGAGTGAGTGAATGAGCAAGTGGGTTAATGACTACAGGAAAAGCTCAGCCTCTGACAACAGAGAGAAGACACAGGTACCTGGCGGACGATCAAAGTGCCCTCCTTCGATGGGGTCATGGCTGGTTCACTTTCTACATCATCATGGACAATCATAGTTTTCACGGATTCTGTTTCGCCATTGCTCAAATTTAGAGATGACCTATGGAGGGAAAAAAAAACAAACCCAGAAATGAAGGGCCTTAACTTCACAAGTTGAGGAGATTACTTTCTCAAGGTTGTAAGATGAGATGAAGCTACAGGTAAAAAGTCTCCTCAAAAAAGGCAAGTGCTTAATTTTTTCCCCTTAACAATGAATTTTCTTCCAGTGCAGCAAGTCTTTGAGCAAAAATTTAGAACAAATATTTATGGCTAATTGAAGTAGTTATACCATACAGATATTTCCATTGTATCCTCAAATTAAAAGGAAAAAATTAAGTACATGCTGGGACGCTGGGGAAAGAGGAGGGGGAAGATCACAAAGGCTGCCCACTGCTGAATCCGCAATAACTAAATGTTAATGCTCATGGGATCGTGTGACAGGTTTTAAAAAAAACTATCTGGTTCCTAGGGGGAAAAAGGCTCAGAGAGAAACTCTCATCCTCTCTTAAACAGATCAGGGACTGACGCTGCTCTAGTGTCCTCTGGTCCAGAGGTGGACTCATCGGCCCCTTCTTGTTCCACATCATCGTCCTCCTCATCTGTCGTCCCCGACTCCTCACTGGACGAAGAGTAGTCTGTCACTTTGTGAGGGGGCCGCAAATCTTCCACTGCTCGAAGCTCTTTGGCCAGTGCAGTCAAATCCTAAGGCACAGGACAGAGAAGAGAGAGTAAGGCAAGGAGAAGGATAGCAGGCGAAAATAGGAAAGAGTGAGTTCTTTGACTATCAACAAATGCCAACACAGTTAGTTTTATAAAACTGTTTTGCAGAGTATTTACCAGCTTCATATGAAGGTGAGCTCTTACAGCTCTTGATAGAAAAGACCAAAAAAGTCAAAGATGTTGCATACAGCTCAAATCCCACAATAAAAAAGTAACAATCTGCTTATGATAAGCTGATAGTGTTTTTTTTTTTAAATATAAGAAAAAATTCTAGATCAACAAATGTGTACAGACAGATCCTTGGGCCTTGTTGTCAAGACAAATATGACAAAGTCTTCTTTTAAGGGAAATATCCAGAAAGCAAGCTTCTAGTTAAACAGGCCTAATTTAAAGTTATATGGGGTTGGGGGGGGGGGGCATGTTTTTCCAACTTTTATTATTAAAAATTTCAAGCCTGCAAAAAAGTGAAAGAAGAGTGAAGTGAGCACCAGTATATATCATTCCCATATCACTTCACTGACTGTTAATAATTTGCCACATTCATGAAAAAGGTGCATGAGACATCAAGAGAGAAAGTGGTGACCTAATGTACTGTGGACTTCCCTACAACCCTGCCTTCAAGCCTTACCCCCACTTCCCTGTAATACTACCAATTCATGTGAACATCAGAAAGAAAAGAAATCCACAGTAGGCTGGGAATGGTGGCTCATGCCTACAATCCCAGTACTCTGGGAGGCCTAGGAGGGAGAATTGCTTAAGCCTAAGAGTTTAAGACCAGCCTGGGCAACACAGCAAGACATCATCTCTACAAAAAAAAATTTTTTAAATTAGCCAGACATGGTAGCATGTGCCTATAGTACCAGCTACTCAGGAGGCTGAAGCAGGAGGATCACTTCAGCCCAAAGGTTGGAGGTTGCAGTGAGCTATCATTGCACTACTGCACTCCTGTCTGGGTGACAGAGCAAGACCCTGTCTCAAAAAAAAAAAAAAAACAGACAGAAAGAAAAGAAATACATGGTAAAATTTATTCAAAGAGCTTCATTTCCCTTTACTCTTCTAGACTCTGACACTTTAAGACTCAACCAATCCACCAAATATAATTTTCAGAAATAATTATTGTTAATACTTTACATTTTCAAACAAAACTCCAAATTCATCTATTTGGGAATTTTATTTAAAAGTAATAACTTTTTAAAAAGCAGACTACGTAGCTATTTTTCTCTCTTATTTTTAGCAGTTCCAATGTAATTTTCTTCTTTTTCACAGTTGAGAATATGTTTCTTTTCTTTGAGCTTGAGCCTCTGAAATAACAGTGATTTGAGTGTTAGGCTTTGAGTCTTGCTATTTTGTGGTTATGGCTGTAGCTTTTAAAATGGTTAGACGAAAAAGCTATATTTAATAAGAGTAATAACAAATGCAGCAAATGTTATGTGTTATGAAAACTGAAGTAAAAGTTTAAGGGTTCAAGTTGCACAGGGCGCAGGACTACAGCTCAGGCAACAGCTGAGTTTACCGGCAGACACAGCGCTGCTCTGATGCTGAACTTTTCAGAGGTGGGGCTTACCACTTCCCCCTGCAGGCCAGCGGCAGTTTCAAGGAATCCAAGAAGCCATCGTGGATGAGGAATGCACAATACGAAGAAGCATGGCAGAAAGAAGGAGAGAAGTACAGAAATCAGTTCAAGCAGGAAATTAAAACCGACAGGCTTAAAATTCCACAGTGTGCACGCAGTTACACTGTCAGCTTACACATGAGGAGTTAAAGGAGAAGTACTAGAAGCAGTCACAACTACCGCCCCAGGTACCAAAAGGCAGAATTTAAGCAACAGGTGAGTTTAAGAAAGGGGTTTCAAAATATTTACTCCAAAAGCCAGTACTGTAAATGCCCAATTCATCAAGAATAAGTAAAGGTTAATGCCAAGCAAAAAAATAAACAGGATTTTTGTCCTTTTGTATTTTTAAAGTATCTGTTTCCTTAGAAGGAAATGTCACTAAATAAAAAACACACTTTGTCCTGTTTCTTTGTAAAGTGACTACACAGAGTGCATGGTTGAAGCTAGAAAAAAGGTTTCATTCTATTAAGAATTTTACATAGAAGATGACTAAGGGAAGGTGCACAGATGTGTCTGGGGTTTAGGTCATGCCTTGTAATTCCTCAAATCTGCAAAGGGGCCCAACAGAAAAGACCGCAGGCCTCTCAACCACATATTTTTAAAAGAAGGATCTCATTCAAGCCTGAAATAAGTAAGACAAATTTTGTGCTATCCTTACAGCAGGCTTGAGAGGTCTAAAAACTTCTTTTTTATCTTCAGGTTTTTTCACTGCATTTTCAAGGCGCTGAGATGGAGAGCCCTCTGACTTGGATGATGCTGTTGGGTTCGAAAGAGACAAGAAAGGCAGATACATATAAACGTATAGATGCATGTCGCAAAGCTGTCCAAGCCCCCACCCCTACCTACTTCTCTCAACCCCAGTCATGCCAGGGTCTCCACATGCAGGTCTGAACTCCAGGGCAAAGTAAGGGACCTAGGAGAGCCCTGGCAGGCTTTCTGACTCCGTACTTAGAATCCTCCATCATCACACTCTACTTAACATGCCATTCGCAAGTAATACCTTGTTACCAGTAATATAGTAGATGGAATATTCACAAGTCTATTATTAAGAGTAGGCTAAAATAACCAATACTGATGACAGTATAGGCCTGGAGTCCATAAAGAAATGGGTTCAAATTCCAGCTCAGACATCTAGCTGATTACCCTGGACAAGTTAGTTAATTGCACTGAGTTGTAAACTGCTCAGGGTGCTGGGCATGTGTAAAGTTTTCAAAATTTACTCTTTTATAGTTAAAATCATAATGACTATTAGTGTCAGTAGGAACCTATACCAAAACATTGGTTTTGTGACAGGCAGTTATACGTAAACCACAGGTCGTTTTTAGTGATGAAGAAGGATTTCCAATATACTGATCATAGCCCAAAGCCACTAATGGAGAAAGGGTAAAGGAAAGGCAGCATACATCTCACTCTGAAGCGTTCCCCGGAGCCACTCTGAGACCCAGGGTGAGAGCCAGGCTGGGACCCTGAGTTGCTGGACCCTGAGGAGCTGCCACTGCCAGGTCTGGGCACCAGCTTCTCTACTCTCTCCCACAGAAGCCTGGGCTCAATACTGCTGTTAGAAAAGAAGAAAAAAGAAAAGCTAATGCATCATCCCAACATGCAGTACCAAATTATAAACATGTGCACGATGTGTGCACTCCATGTCTTTGAAATGTAGAGATGAGAAAAATAGCCTATAAACAGCATTTAACATTACATTCACCAAAAGTTATAATGATATTATTCATGGATTTCATCTCAGATATCTTAACAAACCAAAAATGCTAAATGATATCCTACCATTAGCAGACCTAAAATCTTTATCAGATTGCATGTAGCAACATGAGATGCAATGCTACTGTTCAGTCTAGAAGTGTCATCATTTCTGTTACAGTTATACATTCAGTTCTTAATATTATGAAAACATTCCATTTCCACCGTTACACACAAAATTTTATCTGTTTCTAGGCTACTACTCTCACCCACCCATTGCTGCTCTCAAAAACTGACATTTACAGAAGATATTCCTTTGCATAAGCCGTGTTGGAAATGGTATGGAAAGCACAGGCTGGGGTGGATTGCCCGCCACGGACATACCCCAACACACATTTGCTAGGTAAGATTTAATGACACAGACTTAAGATTATTATGTTGAACATTTGATAACTTGATCATCACTGAATATGTAAAGTTAGCCTTCTGCCATGAAACACTGGTATAACTTGAAGTGGTCAGATAGGTAACTCGGAAGCTGCAAAGAGCCCCTTAGCACTGCTAATGACCAGGGTGGACTGTGGTATCTTCCGTTCCCCTCTATTATAGCGTTGGTCAATGGCCCTTTCTAGGATGATGAAATTGTTTTATATCTGAGCTGTATAATATCGTAGCCACTAGCTACACATGACTATAGAGCAATTGAAATAAACGTGGCTGGCACAACTAAAGAATGAAATTTTAATTGTATTTCACTTCAAGTTAAATTTAAATTTAAGAAGCCTCATGTGGCTAATAGCTGCCGTGGAAGACAGAACAGCTCTAGAATCTAAAAAAATATTATTTGGCTAGTTCACTCATTTATTGCAGACTGTCAGTCAACCAGTGACTTTCTTTAGTAACCTGTCTATGATTTCTACATTATTCCAAGGCCTTATAATATCCTTTAGATAAAAAGCTCCCTTAGATTACAATTCTCTTAGAGCCTTTCCTCCACCCCTTCCCTGCTGTTCCCTCCATTCACTATTACAAGAGACAGGTAGTTTTAATTTCAAAATTACTACAATACAAATTCAGATCCAAACACTCTTTTTATTACACATCAATCTGATATTATTCATGTTAATGGATTTTATGGCAGAACATTTGTGTTTATAAGGATTTTTACAAGAACAGATAAAATAAGACTGTGGGAGACTGTACAGTAAACCTGTTAACCTTCACCTGCCATTTACCTGGTAGAGTTTCTTTGTCCTGCTTGGCTATTTTGCTGTCCACTGCCCTGCAGTGGGGAATCCCGACGGGACAGAACAGGGGAACGAGATGTTGTTCTCACAGGAACCTTTAGGTAGAAAATATAGCAATTAAATTATGGAATGCATGAGGAGGAGAAAAGATTTCCCCACCAAAACATATTTTTGCAGCAGCCCTAATTACACTGGACTTCCTATTGCCAAGCTGCTCCTGTCCTTGCTTCCCCTCCTCCACTCTTATAATAGGGAGAGAAAACTTAGTCATAGGATCTAAGGAACCAGTACAACAAACAGCCTTTCTACACTCTTGTAAAACACTTAAATGATGTTTGGACTGAAGCGTGGTAGCAGAGGACATATAAAGCATTTTGCTAAGATAATGTGAGAATCAGAAAAACAAGCTCAAAGAAACCAAACAATGGCCTAAAAATGGATCAGCAAGAAGCAAAGACTGGCAGGAAGCAAGAATATATTCGGAGGAAGCAAATTCCAAATGTAGGAAAAATAATGTGCCCTTTTGTTTAATTTCACCATTAAGTAATTACAAAAACAAAACAAAAACCTCAATTTAAGAAGGAAAAAAAATCATTTTCTTTGAGATTTCTATTAATTTTTTTTCCTGATAAAATCTTTTCTTTTGAAAATTTTGATATTGGTTAATGTTGCAAAATAACATACAGCTTTTGTATAAACTTATAGGAAAACTGCTAAAATAAGTTATGAATTTGTTCAAGAACCATATTCTTTATAGAATAACTCTTTCATCATTTTTCTACCTTATGTTTAAGTGCAGCATTAACAACAAAAATAAGAAGTTAACTGGCCAGTGGCTAAATATTAATATAAGTGCCTAACTATGGAACTTTCTCCTCACAGTAAAAGGTTCCTTTGAAATTTCATTGCCCCTCTAATTCTGGTGAAGTCACCATACCCATAATTAAAACAAATAATCCTTTAAAACAATAACAGAAAGGACAAAGCAGCACACGTCTGTCTTTCTGCTCCTTACCCTTGGAGGCGCCTCGTCACTGTCTGATCTAGACCAAGCCTTTTGGGTGGGGTCAGGCGCCTCCGACTTAGAGTCAGAGCTCTGACTGAGCACCTCACTGCGGGAAGGTGGACATGGGTCCTGAGAACGAAGATGGTGGTGTGCAAATTTGGGAGGAGAAGGGTCACTGAAGGAATGGGATCGCGAGACAGGGGAAACATTGTTCTTGAGAGATGCCAGGTGGGACCACTGTACCTTACAAGAAAACAAAACACAAAACATTCAATGCGTTCTGCATAAAACTGGCTTTTCTGGTCAATACCAAATCCAAAGCAGGAACTGGCAAAGGCGGAATGCAAACAGGGGGCGGTCAGTATAGGTCAGCCAAGCAGTGAAAACAGGCACACTCTAAGCGAAGACGCGGTCTGGGAACACAGTATGCAGAAAAGAACAAATGTACATTTATAAGGAAAACTCTTTTAATATCCAGACAAACATTGCAGATAGTAGTAAATGTGAATTTTTTTAAATTTTTTACAAAAGAACCCATAGACCCACTGACAAGGGATGATGTGCTCCATGCACATCCATATTGAAGCAGACACTGAGGAGGCAGGGAGAGGGCAAACAATCACGTGACAAAGGACACTGCTAAACATGCAGACCTACCTAGCCATCCTCATCACCCGGCAGTGTACGAACCAGACCAAGTGACACAACAGCACATTTAACGAGCAGAGACAAACCCCTCGTGTTCTGACAGACTATAAAAGTATGACTTTATAACAGCCAGTTTTTCAAATACCCCCCAAATTTTTCTTGTTTCTTCCAAGTCTGAAAACCTAGATATCTCCATATACCTTCAAGCTAGTTATGAAAGAAAAAAACGAAAAAAAAAACCCAAAAACCTGTGTTTCCTTTGAAAATATTCAGTACCATGGGCTTCCTGAATTAAATACTATTGGAGTATACCTCCTATTTGACAATTATTTGTCAATTGAGCTTATCTTGTTGCTTTTAAATTGGGGAAATAATCTCTGAAATAATCTATAAAATATTTTCATTAAATTATATTTTATTATTTTAAAATATCTGTCCAATATTGCAATTTATACAACCCTGGCTACATATCTATTATATCAATGTATTTAATGAAAATTGAAATTACCAAATCACAAATTTGTTCAACCTTTCCAAATGCAGAATGTGGAGTTAGTTCCAGGTGTACGATTTCTATGATTTACAGGGGAGATTCACATAATCCCAGTTATTGGTATAATCCCACATTCCTAACATGTTTAAGGTTTTCAGAGGGAAAGCATATAATTAAAACCATTACCTGAAATTATAATCAAAAATGAGTTTTAAAATAGAATCCTACATGAGAAACATTTCTCCCAAAAAATGTTGCACAGCTATATGTTTCAGCCAAAAGCAACTTTAGAATAGAAGGAAGAAAAAGAAGGCTATTTCTAGGTATGATACAAATTTAATCATGAATGTAAAAATTAGTCTACATAATTCAGGAACTCTTATTTTCTAAAATCTCAGTGGCCAAATAGATAAAGATTCTCCATTTATGGTAAGTTTAACTTGCAGAACAAAAATTTTTATCCTGTACTCTTCAATCAATGCAAAGTTGTTAAACTTTTAACAACTGTCATCAAACCTGTTCTAATAGTCTCTCTTCTCATCCCTTTTTTTTTTCTTTTTTATTTATCTTCTCCTGCTTTTCTCTTCCTTTTATTTCTTTCCATTCCATACTCTCTGGAGTACCTGTGTACTGACAGGCCAACTCTCCTATGACTCAGGACGTTACTGATCCCATGTAAACACCCTATCACCCTGCCCACACCTGTGGCTTCTGTCCTGTTTCTTCTTTTATTTTACTTAACTCCTCTAGGCTACAGTTCCCTGTCATCCAGGAGATTATTGTTATAAAGTGCATTTAAGTTCTGGTTGGAATTTGTTTTATAGTACACTATAGCTGCTTCTGTCACAAGAACATAAACTTTTGTCCCCCTACACAAGCAAACAGTGACAAGTAAACTCAAGCTTAAGAACTTGTTCCCAATATTCTAGATTACACAGTAGCAAGAAGGAAAATGTCTAAAAATCAGCAATTTTCAGCAAGAGAGCAGGAATCCGTGTTTTAAGGATCACTAAGATCTCTGAATCTTTGCTGTCTACTCTCTCCTACAGACAGTGTAGTGGGCTCTCTTCTCGTCACACAGCACTCAGCCCAGCAGCTCTCCCCCACTTAGACGAGGCTTACAATGCTGAGGCAGAGCCAAGAAAAGGTCACGACCTTTGTTCTGACCTACCTCAGGGAAATCTATAGCTAACCCATTTGATCTAACCTTTTTTGGAAATTGAACCCTTTGAGAATCTGATAAAACCTCCTTTCCCTGAAACGTGCACATCTGGACAAATCAAAAACTTCTACATGAAATTTCAGGGGCACTGTCAGTTCTCTAAGGTCCATTCATGGAAGTGGCCAGGAGCAGAGGATCCCAGGGTAAAACATTTACTTTTAAAATGCTTGGAAGGAAAGGTTCTGGTTCTCCTTCTATGTGCTTATAATACTAACTCTCTAAAAACTAAACTAAAAAATCTTTGTATTAGAAGAAACAGGCACTTAACATCTGAGTTAGGGAAGGCAAAAAGTTAGAAGAAGAAATCACTGACTCTAGATAGTCCTAAGAAAAGTATAAGAAAAATCTCAAAGTATAAGAAAAATCTTAAAAAAAGAAAAAGATCCTTCTTTTCTCTATCAACTGTGTGTCATTTCAGTCTAAAGTCATCCCTGCTCATCTCTTCTGTTTAAATGTGGTGACAAACTAAACTGCGGATGTGACAAGCAGGCCTGAGGCTCGGTGAGCCATCGCACAGTCTCCTCCACCACAGCAAAGCTGGCTGTTGCTACCTGTGGCTCCGCTGGTCTCTGCAGGGCAGGATGCACAGACTCGGAGTTGCCATTGGAAAAAGACTCTGATCGGGAAGGCACTGGTGGCTCCAATACTCTGCCTGTCTGCTTAGACTGGGCTTCAGGGGAGCTGTGGTTAGTTTTCCTAAATCTATCTTCCACCTGCATCAGAGAATTAGAAGAGATAACTCAGTGTTAGTAGGGGAAAAGCAGAGATATGGAAGAAAGTCTGAAAGTGGAAGAACTCTACAAAGAAGTTTTCTATTTTCTTCAGCTACAAGAAAAGAGAGGGGTAGTTGGTGGGGGGGAGGTAGATAAAGCAGGGCTAGGACTTGAATTAGGAAAAAGAAAATCCTAATGAAGATAAAAATTAAGCAAGGCAGCCGCTAAGATCTCCTTGTTGCTCAGAATTCTAGGATTGTATATGATGATAAACTAGAAAAAAATTAATCTGTCACAACCAACTAAACCAACATATTAAAAGCCTATCATCAGTAATCCAAATCACATTGCATTCCACCAAATATAAAGGCATTCCCATACAAGCAGAACACTTGTTCCTGGGATCTGCTCTCTGTAAGACAGACACCTGTGGGCTGGGATTCACCCCCACTGTATGCATATCAGCTCCCAGCCTGCCTCACATCCCTGAGCAGTCACTGCTGTGCTGCACCGTACTCTGAGGCTCTTGGCTAGCCCTAATACGCCAATTCAGTGACAAATCTTGATAGTTGGAAAGTCAGTAAATTGGACTACAGGCACGCTTCAGCCTCACACTAGTCTGGGAGAAATAGTTAACCAAACCACCATTCCTCTCATTCACATTTTAAAGAATAATTGTGCCATGCAATCTTCTTTTTGTTTAGTTTAGTTTCCAGTTCTAATGAGGTTTGTTAACTGAGCCATCTGACCCTTAATGGAAAAAGCACTGACTAGATATGAGACCTTGGGCAAATCCCTTTACTCCAAACCTCAATTTCTCAGCTAAAAAACAAACAAGGCAGATCACTCTAGATGATTTCTATAGTCTGTTCTTGCATTAATGTTATACAGTTCTGAGGAGTCATTGCATTACTTTCCAGAAAGTAATCAACACAACGAAGGAAAGCAGATACCTCTCGAGCTCTGTCCGCAGGCTCGTAGTGGGGCTTGGGCTCTGGGACGTGGTAGCTTGGCTTGCTCCTTTCCTGCTGCGGCGGTGGCTGCTGCTGCTGCGGGTGCGGCCTCCTGTGGTCATGCTGTAGAGACAGGAGATATGCTTGTTCTTGTTGCAACTGCCTCTGGAGCCTCTCTGCCTGCCGGTGCTCCTCCATCTCCCGCCATCGGCACTCCTTGGAGAGGGAGAGGATAACACTGAATCTACGGGACACTGGAGAGCTCACCTCTTCTCCAGATTTGTTCAACATGTTTTTTTTTAAGATAATACATATTTCCCCCTTTTTTATAACAAAGCAAAATGACTGGGATTTTAAATAGCACATTACCTGTGGAAAAACCTGCCAGCTGTTGCTAGCCACAATATCATTGGACAGAGTAAGAGAGAATTCAATTAAATGTCGTTTTCAGTGGTATATATACTACGTAAAAATCCTATGGCATGTGCTTGGAGCCTGCAGCTCTCAGCATTCTAGTTTGTTCACCGAATGCCAGGTTCTGTTCAAAACCTTGTCTCTCTACCAAATGAGAACAGTTAATTTATTATTGGGAAATAAATAAAAAAAAATAAACACCATGCAATGTGCCCCAAGCAGTCTGACCATAAAAGACACTCCTTTTGAGCCTGGCTGCCACAGCAAAACCAAAATGGTCTGGTGAGCACCACAGCTTGCCCGACTCAGGGGAGGGATAAATGAGCCCTGATACGACAGAACAAGACAGAGGCGGGTGTTACCAGTAACATGGCCTGCTCCTGGAGCAGCTGCTGCTGAAGGATTTCCAAGTGCCGCTGCTCCTCTTCTAGCTGTCGCCTGATATACTCCTGTCACACAGAAATCACCCAGCAATCAATTTATCCAAAAGGAAAGCATTAGAACCACCTGAATGGAGCACCAAGAACCATTTGCTCCAATCATTTTTAGTAATAATTCACTCCCTGATGATCAACTGAAAAAAAAACAAACAAAAAAACCAAAAAAAACTACTGCTAAAGGTTTTTCCAAGAACTTCAACTTGGCCAGTAAGACCTAAAGAGTCTAATAAATGATGATATGCATTCCCTTGATATACATGAAGGTATCTGAGGGTATTTGTTAGAATGCAGCAGTTATAGACAAATGCAGAATTTTAAAGGAGGATGCCATTCCTCTAAGGTTAGTAGACTCCAGAGAAATTAAGAGTTTAATAAGAAAGGATCAGAGGATCCCAATTAGTAAATATCTGTTTATTGGTCATTATTTATAACAAGCATGCATCACCAATTTTTGAGACCTAAAACCAAAGCCTGTTTAATATTAAAATACAACAAACGTGATTTGTGTTTTCTGTCATGACTCAGAAGGTACTTGAAATGACTATATTCTGAAAACTGATCTGGGAACACCTGACTCAGGCAACTCCCCAAAAACAAACAGGCCCAGGCTCTTCACGATGAGCTCGTGGGGGGGGGGGGAGAGTAGGGTAGGGATGAGTGTGGTTTTTCTTTTCAACAAGGAGAAAATGATCAATGTTAACCTTTGTAACAATGAAAACAGGTAAACACATCCACAATATGTTATACAGAGAGCTAAGAGCCCCTCCCTGATGCTGCATGCATATCGTAACACACAGGGGTCTCAGGAGGCCTGGACCCCAGTTCCACTGAAGACTGGTTCCACAACCTCTAGGCTCATTCTAAACTTCCCATTTTCTCATTTGAGAAATGAACATGAAAAATCTCTCCTAACTCTCAGGGGTTTCTTTGTGTGGCTCAAACCTGAGGTAGATACAAAATAAGTTTGAAAAAGCACGAAACATTTTATAGGGAAAAGTAGCTTCCTTCCTTTTCAACACAGAAAAAAAGCCAATTATCTGCTCTAGAAAGGGGAGTAGCCTAAGAAGGATGAGGAGAAATTCTACCATGAAATTTGGATTGTTATTTTAGAGTGTGTGCTGCTGCTCAGCCCCTTGTTATCATGGTGCACACCTTAAATAAAACTAGTCATCACCAGGGCTGAACAGAAGCTTTAGTTAACCAATAATTTTTTGGTTAGGAGAATGCTGGATAACATAGAAATCATGGTATATAAACATCCTTAGACATCCTCATCTTATAAAGCAAAATGAGCCAAAAAAGCCAGTCTGAGGGGGAGCTTCCTTACAAGGCCATGAGCAAAGATGCCTGGTTCTGACCTGGGCTCTGAGTCCCTTTCCCCGATGCCCAACCTTTGTGGCACATGCTCTACCAACACCTACCCCAGCAATGTCTGCATGGTCTTACCCAACGCAACTGGGAAAAGGAGCCCCACTCCCAACTCATTTCTTCTTTGAAGAAAATAATTAAATCATAACTTGAAAGATCAAGTTAGTACACTCATTTGTTTCTGCCTTCAAACCACAGGGACAACCAGAAAAATCACACCCTATCCAAACCACAAAGGTCCTAACATACAGTCGAACATACAGAAATATAACACACGTCTACACAAACACACACTTATGCCAGGATGAAATGTGTCCTACAGCACCGTTAATGTGGGGAATTACTATTAATATTTCATGACAGAATACAGAAAACAGAATATAATTGATTTTAGAAGTTTTTTCTTCTTGTTCTCTCCTTTGCCATTCACATTCTTGCTGCAGAGTACTTGCTATTCACAAAATCCAATGACTGCCACTAAAGCGTTAAAAGATGAATTATAATACTAGCATCTCCTCCTCCCACAATCAAACTGTGATAATTATCTCTAGGGGATTTAATTCTTAAAAGCTTATATTTTCTCCCCTTTGCAGCCTCCAGGTATAAACATAACCAGAATGTTAAAACACACACACTACGCGCAGTTAACTGGTCAATAAGGTCAATAAGGCAACACAGAGAGCGTCACTGACATGCCTGGAGAAACACTGATGAGCATGCAGACCCCAGTCCCAGAAAACACAAGACACATGACTGCTATCAAGGACAGTGGGTGAACAGTCAAATGTGCAAGATAACATCATGGTTTATAGGCATTTTAAAATATGGATTTCAGGTAATTTTGCAAAGCTCATAACAAAGATATCAATTCAAAGACAAGAAAGGCAAAGCAGCTAGGTGCAATTGATTTCTGTCTACACAGGTGGTTCAGGAAACAAAGAAAATTTCTAAATAAAACCAAACCTGACATTAATAAAATGCTATAAATATTACTAAACCCTTTTTGGTTGAATGTTATCAGTTTTTTTTTAAACTACCTATGCGTATACACAATTACATGCAAATATAGACTACAATAATCACTTAGCCACTGGATATTTCAAACATTTCTCATAAGAAATTTCTTACAGTTGGTTTATATTTCATTTTTTTAAAAGTCAGCCAGATATTTGGTGTTCACAGCATTTAAGCCAAGCCTGAGAAGATACGTTCAGAAATCTTTCAGGTATCATACTATTTGGAGACCACTTAACTGGTTTCAAGACATTTGTAAAGTGTAATGATTTAGCGATCTTTTTTTAAGACAAGAACTCAATTTACTGGTGTCCTTCCAATTATGTTTCACCATTTTTACACGTCTGAAGTCCTGAATGTGTATGTACGTGCATGTATACATATATGTGCATGTGTACTTTCTGCTCCAAATCCCCAGCTCTGCAAAGTAACAAATTTCACAAATTAATGACTGGAACATTCCTTGTGAACTAACCTGTTCTCTTTCAACTCTCCTTTTTTCTTCTTCTGCTCGTCTCCTCTCTTCCTCTTCTTTACGCCTTCTCTCCAATTCCTCTAGACGCCTCTTTTCTTCTTGTTCTCTCCTTCGCTGTTCACGTTCTTGCTGCCTTCTAGCTTCACGCTCTCTCCTTTGTTGCTATAGATGTAAAGAATGTAAAATTACCGATGGTCTTCCAGCCATGGCTCTCCTGATATTGCTGACCAGCTACAGGTAGACACTAATGAGGTGAAGTTCATGGGCCCCCTTCTCTTCTGGCCAATTATTTCCATACTGCCCCCAGCCCCATATGTAATGGCTTCCTCATAAACACTGGTGAAAGGGTGCTGTGTGTTTCTGTGAATTCTTAGGGTTTGGTTTCATTTTGAAACAATTATTCTCCCCTGCTCACTGTACCACAGCAATCAGGGAACAGAAAATTCTTGACACTAGCAAAAAAAACCACTACAGTTACTGACTCCTCTTCTACATTATGCTCTAATATTTGAAATAGTAAACTAGACCAAGAGTAAGAATTTAAACTACCAACCATAAAAATCACTATAGTCAGAACAGCTCCACAACTTGGGGGAGAGGCAAAATGAATAATTAAAAGTATAGAAATCCTTTAGTAAATACATCTTAATATATGATTAACGGGAAAAGCTGGCTCTTGTATGAGAACCTCAAAAGAAAATGGTCAAAATGAAACATACACACCATCAACAACATCAATCTATATTGGATTAACCTGATGCCTATGATTTCAAATAAAACCCAGCAAATCCTAATAAACATGCCTTTTCAGGTTTAGCCTACTAGGAATAACAAACATGATATAATCCTTTGATGCTTTTACAAACTGATGTCATTATTTTCTTAAATTATCCTTTCTTTAAAAACAAAATCAAACTAAAAAACTGCATGATGCTGGTAAAGTGATTTCCAAATCTCTTAAAGTACAAAGAGATTTTCCTATTACTTAAATTTTTGCAAGCATACCTGAATAAATATGTACTTTTCCAACTATGCTATAATTATCTAAGTTCCCTTTCTAGTTTGTTATTTAAAAGCAATGCTTTCATCTAACAATTTTAAAAAGTTTTCTAAATAAATTATACTGACGGTAGTGAGAGCTATTTAAATATACTCCACTGGACTTAGTGGCTTTAGTAGAAACTAACAAATTTCAATAAACCAGTCTATTCTTAAGACTCTACTATTTCCAAAAACTTTTTCTAAGAGACAAGGCCTTGCTATGTTGTCCAGACTAGATGTGAACTCATGGGGTCAACTGATCCTCCTGCCTGAGCTTCCTGAGTAGGTGGAACTACAGGCATATTCCACTGTACCTGACATAATTTCTAAGAACTTTTGAGGTCATGTTATTGCACACATATACTATCAACCTTTGGGTTTTTTTATATGCAAGTTCTAATGAAGTCATAGTAGAGAGGTTATATTTATCTGCTTCTTCCAGATCTTTAGACAACAAATAATATGTGCACTGCATTAAAATAACTCTTTAAAAATTTAACTGTAACTATGATCAAACACTAGACCAAGGATGCCAAGAGAACATTTAAGAACTTACAGGGAGTTCTTAAAAACAAGACAGCCACCCTCTGCAAAACAACTCATCCCTGACTTGATAAAAAGTAAGCCTTAGCTGCAGGGGCACTGGCATGCCATGATACATATATTAAAGCTAGAATTGTTTAAAAAAAAAAAAAACAAGCACTTTGCTAACATGTACTCCTGATGTTAGATACTAAAATTTGCAAGACAAAGGCCTTTTTGTAGGCAAGCAGGGATGAGGAAATGGTTCTTATTCCTTTAAAATGCTGGAAACACTGTTGGATAGTCTTTGGGTAAAAGAGTTCACTGCCTTCCTTCAATGATCTCAGAGCCAAGAAATATACAACAAATAGATGGCACAGTTTATTCACTTCTTACCGAGAAACCTGTACATTTCCTAGTGTTACAATTCAGTATCAATACTAATCCCATTTCACATCAAAACTTTTTTCCCTCTTGCTTTCCTTTGTTTTTAATTTCTTCTACTTCCATCACCCCTCTGAAATTTAACTTTGGGATCTGCAGAGAACACTCTGGGATTCGTAGAAAAGACAGAGATGAATGTTACTGTGTGTTCTCTTGGTGGAAGAAAGACAAACAGAAACTGCTGGGGCTCACCCTAATGTTTATTCCTCACTTGGAGGAAGCAGATTCTCCAAAATCACAAAGTGACAATTGAGACTTTAGGGCTAAAAACTTTGAAAGGAAAGATCACAAAAATAGATTATTTTTTAAGTCCCAACAGAAAGATTCTGAGACAAGAACTTAAATATGCTGTCAGCAGTGTACCAGAAGCAGAAAAACTGATAAACAGCTAGCTTACAAAGTGAAGTTCTTCACTTAACTTAAATGGCAAAAATTCAAAGTCTCCAGAGAACATTATGGTCACCATCTCACCAAGGGTAAGACTGGTAAGGGATAGGGATTTTTTTTTTCAAGACAAATATACGTGTGAGAAATGTCAAATCAAAAGATCAATTCTAACCTCTAGACTAAAAAGATCATTTTATACACAGTTTAAAAAAAATAATGTTCTACTGTTATGATACCACCATAGACTAAAACAAATCTTTTCTAGGAAATTTTCTTTTTTTAACATTTACTAGAGTAGCACAACAAACCACAGACAAATGTATCTTGTTTTTACAAGTAATTGAACAGTTTCCATGAGGTCAAAATAAAGTATAGACTAGAAGACAGGAAACATAGTTAAATATGTAGTAGGTTCAAAATCATATTCAAAATACACTGACAAATGTAATATTAACTTAGACTGATTTAGATTACTAATCAGATCTTCTCCAGGAACTATCCTGTTTTAACACTGTTATCAAACAGATAAAGACTGGGGAAAACATGCTAACCAAATGTGTGAATGTCATGAGAGGGAGGGGTAAATAATGGATACCAAATCATCATTCAGTGAAAGAAGAGCACAAAACCACTGGGATAAAATGACACCCCATTTTCAGCAACACTGGGCGACAGACTCCAAAATATCTGCAAAGACTTCCAAAAGATCCCAAGTTCACACAGGAATCAAGGAGGAGGAAGCAGAGGAAGAAGGAGATACTAGCAGCTGCAGAGGTTGGGGGGATGGGAGTATACATACATGAATGCTTCTTACAGAGGAAGGATCTATGCAGGGCAAAAGCACCATTCCTCACCTGCAGAGAGGTTCAGAAACAGGGTGTGTGGGTGGCAGGAGAAGCCCCCAAACCCAATGCGCCTGGTTTCGTGGCAATTACAAAGAAAAGAATATCTGTACTTTGTTTCCCCACAGCCTCAACTTCTAGATCATTTTTTTGCCAGCCTGCTGACAGAAAGTTACCTCCTTTCAGTTTTAATTGCCACTTATCTTTTGTGTGAGGCTCACCATCTTTTAACTACTCTGTTCATAAAATAAAGACTCTCTATTTCCCAAACAGTTCTGAATAAACCCTTAATGCTAATAAAGGGCTACAAACCATGTATGGGTCAAGTACAGGTGGCCCACTATATCCATGGATTCTGCATCCATAGATTCAACCAACTGCAAACAGAAAATATTTGAAAAAACTGTGTCTGTGTGTACTGAACATGTACTGATTTTTTCTTGTCCTTATTTCCTAAACAACAGTGTAATTAACTATTTACATGACATTTACACTGTATTGGGTATTATTTGTAATCTAGAGATAATTTAAAGTACAATCATCTGTTGCAGAATGATGGGGATATGATGTTCTGAGAATATATCCTTAAGCAATTTCACTGTTCTGTGAACATGATAGAGTGTCCTTATGCAGACCTAGACAGTACAGCCTACTACACACCTAGGCTACATGGTATAATCTATTGCTCCCAGGCTACAAATCTGTACAGCATGTTACTGTACTAAACACTGTAGGCAACTGTAACACAATGATAAGTAGTAATGTATTTAAACATGCCCAAGCATAGAAAAAGTAGAGTAAAAATATTATAAAAAAGATAAAAAATGGTATGCATATACTGAGCACTTTCCATGAGTGCAGCTCACAGGACTAAAAATTGTTCTAGGTGAGTGAATGTAAAGGTCTATGATATTACTGTACACTACTAGAGAGTTTCACCTTACACTTAGGCTACGCTAAATTTATAAAAATATCTTTTTCTTTCTTCAATAATAAATTATCCTTAGCCTTCTGTAACATTTTTACTTTATAAACTTTTAAATTTAACTTTTTGACTCTTATGTAATAACGTCTAGCTTAACATCCAAACACACTGAATAGCTGTACAAAAATATTTTCTTTCTTTATATCTTCATTCTATAAGCTTTTCCCTATTTAAAATTTTTGTTAACTTTTTAAATTTTTTTTATTAAAAACTAAGACACAAATACACACGAGCCTAGGCCAACACGGGTCACGATCATTAATATAATGTCTTCCACCTCCACATCGGGCCCACCAGCAGGTCTTCAGGAGCAATAACAGGCACAGAGCTGTCATCTCCAATGATAACAAGCCACCTTCTGGCTACCTCCTGAAGGACCTGCCAGTGGCTGTTTTATAGTCAACTTTTTCTTAAATAAATAGAAGCAGTACACCCTAAAATAACAGTTAAAAGTATAGTACAGTAAATAAACTAGCAACATAGCTGTTTATTATCATCATCAAGCATTATGTACCCTACATAGTCATGACACTTTTATATGACTAGCAGCACAGGAGGTTTGTTTACATCAGCATCACCACAAACATGTAACGGGTTACACTACTACATTATGACAGCTATGATATCACTTGGTGACAGGAATTTTTCAGTTCCATTATAATCTTAAGGGACCACCACAGTATGTGTGGTTCATTGTTGACAGAAATGTTGTTATTTAGCACATAACTATATATGAGAAGATGTATAATACATCAGTTATGTGCAAATACTATGCCATTTTATTGTAACAGGGACTTGAGCATCCTTGGATTTGGTATCCATGAGAGGTCCTGGAACCAAATCCCCATGACAGCAAGGAATGACTACATTCCCAATTCTTTTCTGAGACCTAGAGTATAGACAAAACTTAATTGTCCAGGCTAACAACAAAGGGATCACCAAGAATCCAAACCAGTAGATTTTATTCACGTGAACATTTTCTGTTTCAGTACTTTCTTAATATTTGCTGATTAAGAAAACAGGCTCAAAGAGGTGACCAAGTCTGAACTTACACTGAAAATCTGAAATTAAAAGGATAATTGAAATATGTAAAGTATAAAATTCTTGTTTTAGCAAGCATAGCTAATTGACTAGCATTTATTTAACTAATAAAACAAAATTACTTTAAAACTTCAGTTCTTCACCTCAAGCTATTGCTCACCTTCACCTAATAATCCTCACTGTCTACCACACGCAGAGGCCAGATAACAGATATCCACCTCACTACTGACGGCCTGAAAGACATTTCCGAGGCCTATGTTACAAATGAGCTCTAACCTGATCTGGTCCTTCGCACTTCAATTTATTAACATAAACCACCAAATTAACCTGTGCCACCTGCTTAAGCAGAGTACAGGCGAGGATTAGAAAGGACAGTGGAAAACACCACATGCAGAAATAACTAAAAATAGCCAGAGCCTCAAAACTGAAGCATTCTAATATAGTAAGTACAAACTATCAATATGCAACTTGAACAAATCTCTGAACCCATTCAGGGTTTCTGTTATTTTCAAAGAACATTAAGAAGAATCTTAACAAAAATATTGCAAGGGAGTCTGAAAATAAACTACAAGAGCCAAGATGTCCCAACTGCAGGGGAAGGTGTGTCTTATGTTTTCTTCTAAAATCCCTGGTTGAGTATTTGCAACCTTCTTAGTTATAAAAACTATATAAAGAGTTTTCAGAATCCAGACTACAAATATGCAAAATGGAACAAAGACTCTATTCCAAGATACTGTTAAATAAGTTGGGTAACGGCATGTGTTATTTAAATTAAACTCCACTAGATAATATCGATACAAGGCTTTATTGTTATTGTTGGGTTCTTTCTCTGGGAGAGAAACATAAAGGTCAAACAAGTGTATGAATTAAATAAAAGCAGAAATGATTATGAAGGAGAAATCTGGGGCTATGAAATATATACAGCAGTAGGCAGTTAAGAAAAGAAAATCAAAAAACTCTTTTGACCCCTAGTTGAAATATAGTCATGTGCACATAATGACATTTTGGTCAACAACAGGCCACATATATGACAGTGGTCCCATAGATTAAAATACTATATTTTACTGTACCTTCTCTATGTTTTAATACACAAATACTTATTACCATTGTGTTACAACTGACTATAGTATTCAGTACAGTAACAGGTACAGGTCTGTAGTCTAGGAACAACAGGCTACACCATATAGCCTAAGTATAGAGTAGGCCATACCATCTAGCTCTGTGTAAGTACACTCTGTGATGTTCACCCAAAGATGAAATCTAATGACACATTTCTCAGAATGCTTCCCTGTCATTAAGTGATCCATGACTGAATAGGAAAATAATATATTTCTGTAAGTTAAAAATGAGAAAGCTGTGGGTAACCACATTACCAATGTTAGCAATATTAATGAGTTAAATGAGCAGGTAGTACACAATGTACTTCCCTTCCACCATAGGACATAACTAATCCCACATTAAAATTCTGTTTTCTACATCCCTTACTCTTAAGTCTACCTAAAGTTAAGGCATTTAGAGAAAAATGTTTTTCATATGAAATAGTCTGAAGTTGCAGAAAAATATGAACACACGAACAGGGACCCAGAGGCCAAGGGTAAAAAAGAAATCAGGTCAAGCCTGAGCAAGCCAACTTAAACCACGATGGAAACAGACGTCACAAAACTGGTCTGATGCCATCGTGAGGACACTTGCACTGCATCTAACACGGTATGTTGATGAGTAACTGTGGGGCAGGTCCTTAAAGCTTTTACAAGGAAGGAAAATATTTCTAAGACCGTGAGGAATGTGAAGGCCTGCCAGTACAAAACATAAGCTTTCCTTCAGAAGTTATCTGAATAGCTATGCCAGTTGGTAAGCATTACCTCAGGAGGCTAAAGAGAATATTTCTTTGAGTGGCTGGCTATCGATGTGAATATAGAAAAAGAAAAGACCAACTTGGACATTTTCCCTTTTTCTACCTCTTCTAGCCGCCGCCTCTGTTCCTTCTGCTGCTCGATCCGTTTCTGTCTCTCTGCTAGCAGCTGCCTTTTATACTCTTCCTGCTCCCGGAGCTGTTGCTCCTGCAGTAACTGTTGTCTCCGAAGAGCCTCAGAACGTTCCTTGTTCTCCTGCTGCAGTCTCAGGAAATCCCGACGAAGAGTAGACTCACCAGGCACATTAACAATGGAACTGCGGGAGGAAGCAGGGCTCTCAGGGGCATGTACAGATCACACTGCCCTACAAACAAGACAGGAGCACTGGCATCCTATTCCCCTTCTACATTCATTCTCTGAGTTCCTCCGAGTCCAGGGATGCAACAAATACATCCATAGAAATGACTGTATCTGCAACTCCAGAGTCCCATATCTTCTTTTATTCATTTGGTAAATATCTTAAAATTCTGTCCTAGACATTTGTTTGACAAGACATTTCTATTTACGATTCTCACAACAATTCAAACTCTGTAAAATGAAAGACTGAAATCACCTTTGTCCACTTCACTAGTCCTTCTCTAACCACCTTATTTTCCTTCAGTAAACAGAAACATCAAAGCACTCTTCAGTACTTACTGTTCATTCATCTCTGTCTGGTCAACCACCAAGTCTGCTCACGTACTTCTCCCTCCCACTTTCTTTATGCCAAAGTCAGCAGCTGAACTCAAGTGGGTCCCATGAATTAGCCATTGCACAGATGGATTAAACAGCATCCTTCCTAGCTGGCCTCTCTATTGAGAGTTACTTCTCTGCTTCCACACCACTCGGAATGACATGGCAAACAGATTTCCTTAAACTGCCTCTTTCATCATATCATGTCCCTTTTTAAAAATAATCATATTGTTCATGAAATCAGTTCAAACTCCTATGAAATTTTTAGTCTCAAATGGAATTAAAATCTTCTCCTATATAAAAAAGAAAAGGATATTATGGATTTTCTTCAATAAATTATCTTCTGTCTCTTCAAACCTCTCTTCTCTGGCACAAGGCTCCCTACAGGCCTCTCAACACTCCTCCCAGCATCCCTTTGCTCCACTATTCAGTCCTGTGCAGCTGCTGCATGAAAAACTGCCAGGCAAGCCCCATTATGAAAATAGAAAAATCCTCCATTCTTTGATTAATCAGTTATTACAAGGTTTATGCTACCAGTTTTAACTCCCTAACCTTCTGCTTTCTTATACCTTGAGAAGGCAGAGATGAAACAAAACACTGAACACAAAATGGATTGAGACAAACATATACTAACAGATCAAGTCAAATACTGGTAACCACATTTGTGGGAAGAGCAAAAAAAAAAAAGTTTTGGGAAAAACTCCAGTTTTCCAAGAGAGATCCTGCTGGCCCCTAAGTAGGACCATTCTTTGTGTAGCAATGTTCTGCACACCATAAGACCTTTACCAGCCATGCCTCCTGGAGCAATGAATGCTGGGGCAACCTCCCCTGCCCAGCCCACAACACAGCCCAGCATACTTCGAAGTGACTAGGGAGGGGACACAATGCAATCCTTGGTAAAGAATGACTAGATAAGTGGATCTAAGGAAGAAAAATGTTTATAGAAATCTATCATAAAATACAGAAGAATGAGAGATAGTAAGGCACTTTCAAAGTAATTTAAGATGCCTTTGAGTCTTCTGAAATCCTGACACCAGCATGAAGCTTAATCTCTTCAACAATCAGGATGCTAAACAGTGGTTTTGTGGTTACCTTGGCTCTCCTTCTTGTTCAGGCACTTCCTCTTCTTCTTCCTCACTCCCACTGTACTCATACTCAGTTTCATCTATGAAGAAAAGGACAAGATAAATGGGACAGTTCACAAGTCCTGACACACGCCTGTTCAGGCAAGCATCTCCAAAGGCATTATGGCAGGAAATAGACAAAATGTTCCTTGTGTAAACAGAAACTTGTATGGAGAACTTGGGAAGGAGGGGAGAGACAGCAAATTCATATACGGTCGGAGGCAATTTCCTGGGCTAGACTCACTCCCCATGGAAAAGCCAATTCTGTAGCCTTTAACACAATCTCTTATGGGGATATGTTGCTGAGGGGCTCCAGGACTGTAACAGGGGCTCCGGAACCTGTGACATACAGGAGAAATGGTCCAAGAGCACCAGCACATTCACAGAAGTCTACTTTGATGTCAAAATTAAAAAAAAAAAAAAAAGAAAGAAAAAAGAAAGACATGTACGTGCTGAAACTATGACAAGCAAGAGAATTTTTTGGTTATTTTTAGCAACTGGGGACCCACAGAGAGTGCAGCAGAAAGAAAAGCCTGCTGGATGGACCAAAAGTAAAGCATTAAGTAGGTAATTACAGCAAAAAAACAAAATATAATATTCCCACAAATTATAAAAGACAAAACCGGGGGGAAACTAATTAAATAATATAGCAAAAGAATGAGACAAATATTGTTCTACTTAGACCAGACTTCAAACAAAAGTTTCAACGTGAATAACTCATTTTCACTTCCACAGGTTTTATTGGTCCCTTCACTTAATGCCAGTATCCAACTATCAGTGAACAAGTGAACAGTAACTCCAGAGAGCAATCAAAACCAGACAGGTTGAAGAGATTTAAAAAACAAAGTACGCTCACAAACAAAAAATACATTTCTATTTTTTTTTTTCAGAGATATGTAAGATGAAAATCAGCATCCTGGTATGAAAAACGGGCCTGAACACTTAAAATATAATTCAGGACAAATCTGTCAGCCTATACATACGACATTATTCTTTCTCTGTGCTAGATAATCAAAAGCTATATAATTTAAATAGACATATAAATGGATTTTAATAGATATGAAGACATGGCACATAGATATACATAAGCTTCTAAGGGAAATTACAACCTAAATACTCTTTGGAATCCATTAAATAGATACTCTATTCATGTCCTTTGCCCAGTTTGCCTAACAAACGTATGAAAAATGCTCAATACCTCTAATCATCAGGGAAATGCAAATCAAAACCACAATGAGATATCACTTATCCCCAGTGAGAATGGCCTTTATCAAAAAGTCCCAAAACAATAAATGTTGGCATGGATGCAGAGATAGGAACATTCAAATACTGTGGGTGGGACTGCAAACTAGTACAACCTCTGTGGAAAGCAATATGGAGATACCTCAAAGAGATACAAGTAGAACTACCATTTGATCCAGCAATTCCATTACTGGGCATCTACCCCAAAGAACAAAAGACATTCTATAAAAAAGACATCTGCACTCAAATGTTTATAGCAGTACAATTCACAATTGCAAAGATGTGGAAACAACCAAAGTGCCCATCAATACACAAGTGGATTAGTAAAATGTGGTATATATATATATATAATGGAGTTCTACTCAGTCACAAAAAACAATGGTGATCTAGCACTTCTTGTATTATCTGGATAGAGCTGGAACCCATTCTACTAAGTGAAGTATCCCAAGACTGGAAAAGCAAGCACCACATGTACTCACCATTCAATTGGTATTAACTGATCAACACTTAAGTGTATATATAGTAATAATGTTCATTGGCTGTTGGGCAGATAGGAAGGGGGAGAAGGGAATCGGTAAATTCACACATAATGGGTGCAGTGTGTACCATCTAAAGGATGGACATGCTTGAAGCTGTGACTCGGGTGGGGCAAGGGCAATATATGTAACCTATAAACATCTGTACCTCCATAATATGCTGACGATAGACAGACAGAAAGACAGACAGACAGATAGATAGATAGATAGATAGATAGATAGATAGATAGATAGATAGATAGATAGAGTATTCTGCTATGTTTAAAATTTTGTACCATAAACTACCAATTATTGACAAGAGGCTATGAGTATTTGGAAGGTGAATCCAGAGAAAATAAAGAGGTCACTGTGACTCGAAGATTGAAATGAGGAAGGTGCTTTGCTGTTTCCATCTGCAAAATATGGATAATGAGAAATGCATGAGATGACCCAGGCTAAGTATTTAGCAGATGCCTGGCACATAGCAACTGTTCAATGAATGTTAGCTATATTAAGTAAAGTAATGGAAAAATGATCCAATATGCAAATAATTTATTTCCGAAAATAGGGCTACCATATCAACTGAAAGTTAAGGAAAAAAAGTCTTGTTTCAATCTTTATTTCACTTTGTTACAAGTGCCTAGTTTAATGGATAAAATTAAGACTAAATAAATCGGGGGGGATTATTTTGAACAATGATAACTGTGAATACACTGGAGCTCAAATGAATATACAAATGACTATGACCAACTCTTTTACTGCCTTGAACTTGTTCTTTTTAGTTTCTTCTTTGTCCTCAAAATTTGAGTGTCAAAAAAATTCATTACCAGGATTGCGTTATCCAAATATTGTTTCATAAACTTACTGCAAGGATCCATAAAACAGAAAAATCAATGTGAGCTAGTAGCCTCAGAGAACGTGGTTTAGTAAAGAAGGTAATGGAGTTTGAACTGCACCTTGTAGACAGAAGGAAAACAGAAAGCCTTCCAGGTAAGCAGGCACAGTATGTGTAAAAATATAAAACAAAGACATGGAGGACAGAAAGGAATCTTCAGTAATCAGTACAAGAGCATGCTTGTGGCCTATGCCTATCCACACTCCCTGTAACAGTAAATAAGTAAGAAATCCTGAAGGTGGGGGCAGTTCCTTGAGTAGGAGAATAACACTGAGGAACACATGCTGGTGATGTTCACAGTAGATAGTCAATAAACTCCAAGCGAAGTACACAATGAACGAATCCGTAATGAAGTAAAATGAGGAGCAACAATGTGCTCCCAAGAGCAACAAGAAAAGCCACCCACCACGCTGACCCGCCACAATGCCTGTCTACCTGGTATCAGCCTGGCCAAACCACGAAGCTCCAGCCAACCCCGCCTGAGCGAGGCTGGACCCTAGGCCCAATCACTGAACTGCATGGCAGAGACGAACTACTAAAGCACTGGCCAAATGAGCACAAACTCACAGTTGGGAAAGGAATGACCCATTCTAGCTGACAAGAACTTAAAAATAAAAATGTAAAAAGATGAACAGAAAAACAGGTTTAATACCTTTCTCTCCTCTCTTCTTTCTGGTCCGATCTATATGATCCTTAAGCTGGATTCTAACTTGCCTTTCATTTGGTTGATCCCTTATAAAAGGATGTTTCAAAAGCTGCTCTGTGGAGGGCCGCTGCATGTAATTTTTCACCAGGCACCCTTCTATAAAACTAAAAAATTTCTTTGACCTGTAAAAAGTAACAAAAAAAAAATCATCAAATTTCTACCATGAAGAGTGAAATGCTCCAAAGTATCAATAACTTAAAAGCCTGAAAACAAAGACAAGCTTTGGAATTCACTGTGAACATTCTACAAATGCAAAGGAATAACATATGAAACATAAAAAGGAACTCAGGAGTTGGGGATTGGGAGCATTAATCTAGCACAGTTTCAGTGTTGCATAGTATTACCGATAATACAAACAGGAAGCTATTAAATAAGTCAGATTTCAATGAATTAGATTTAAATCTAATATTGCTTATTAATCGCTAATCACACGGGTGGAGAAAGAGGGAGGTCTCTGCTAAAATGAGGGCAGACAGAGAGGATAGATGTCTAGTACCTAGAAGAGAAGGACAGACATTGGGATAAAAAAAGGAGCTGAGTCCGTGACCAAATGCTAGGACTCTAAAACCTGTTAATTTGACATTTCAACCTGAGTTTCACACTGGTTGATTTATCAGTTCTTTATGTTTAATGTACAAAGATAGAAATTACAGTGTTTAGGGGGACAATGAGTCTGTCACCTACATTTGCCATACTAGCCACTTTTATTTTACTTGTTTCTCTGTGCCCAGCTCATGATGACCTCAGTGGTAGTCTAGGCTGAGACATCCCTCACCCATCCTATTTTGTGAGACTCACCTGAGGAATCATCACTTTTGATAAGCCTTCCTGGTAATATTCTACCTGTATGTGCCCTAAGTTAGAGCCTTTCTTCTGGGGGTATCTGCTTTTAACAGACTTTAAACAGACTGTGTACTTTAGGTTATGTTTCTATCTCCCCTACAAGTCAAGAACTGGTACCTATTTTTCAATCTGTCAACAATGTTCAACACTAAGCACAGCATACCATAATAGGTACATAATAAATTTTTGTTGAATGAATGAGATATTCAGTCTTTTAAAATGTGATTTAGAAAATTAGTTCTTTCCAATTACTTCACTGAGCTTTTAAGAATCACTTCATTATCTTGTATTTCCATTCAAACTTACTAGTTTTTTCAATTCAACAAATATTTATGTATCAACTGTTTGCATTTGTTTATGTTAGGCTCTGAAAGAAATACACATAGGAAATAAAGTAGATGAAATTTGGCTATACAATAGAACTACAATCAAATTATAGGGGAAAAAAACCAACTATTACACTGAGTTGGACATCAAAAAAAGTGGAATATTTGACATTTATTATAGAGTGGGAGAGAGAAGACAGCATCCCAAAGTGGAGCAATAGCATGAAAGGTAGAAAAGTTAAAAGAAAAACAATGAGTCATTTTCTGAGGCTAATATGAAAAGTGGGAAAGAAGGGAACAACAGTCAAGGTCAGCTCAGAGAAAGACCCCCAAAGTCATTCAAAGAAGCTATTACTTTATGTTTAATGAGGAAACGTAGAATAGTGAAACGCTCTGACATGGAGATTCCCAAACCCCAAGCCCACAAAGATCATTTCAGGGAGTTTATTAAAAATACAAATACCTGAGTCACTCCCCAGATCAGAAACTTTGAGGCTGGAACCCTGGATTAAAATATTCCAAAGGGATTACCATGCACTGTGTCTACACACTAACATTTGGAAATCAATGACCTACAAAACGTTCTTTAAAATCAACGATCAAGTTCTGCTGGAAGACAGGACATGGATCATGTTTTGAAAGCCACTTCTCCCAAAACAGTAGTAGAAATTTACATCTGGTAATTGGAGGACCCCAATCACAAAGGAAGAACTTTATTTCTGTAATCATCTCTTCCTTTCAGAATATTGTGGTAACATGAGAACAATGATATAAATGAGGTGGCATCTAATCAAGTTTTTAAAAAGTATGATGTAAAGAAAAAAAACACAGGAAGCATCTATGGCCATCTATCACTGTCTCTCTAAATCACAAATACTGGATGCATAACAGTTCATCCAAAACCGCAAGTACTGGACAGAAATAAACAAGAGTGTAAGGTACCCTAAAGACAGCATTAATTCAGTAATCTTTCCAGTATAGACCTCCATCAACAAAATCAGAGAAAAATAAAGGAAAAAAGGAATTATTACTTAGTATAACATGAGCGAGATAAGGAGTTACTCCAGCCCCACAGCCTACTCCGTTGTGATGTCCACTATATCCATGTGGTTTCCCTAGAGGTAGCCACCCACGGATACCCAGAGCTATCGTGTCTTAACAAGGAGATCAACTGGGGCTAAAATCTTTGCAACTATGTGGCAATAAGAATCAATTTAAAAATGGGTAAATGGAATTAGACAACCTAATCAGTTATCTGGAATCAAATGTGGTTAAAGTTAGTATATAAAAAATAAGAAAAATCCTGCTAACAGAAGAAAGGTGAGGAAAGAAAGATAAAAGTTTGGGGGGCAAGGACAGCAAGGAACAGAGAGAAATATGAAGGAAACTCATGTGAAAATGTGTGTGTGTGTGTGTGTGTGTGTGTGTGTGTGTGTGTGTGTGTGTACACATCTATAAAGAGGAAAAGGAAACACCAGAAATTGAGCAACCAAAAAGAAAAAAGCAGACAGTAATAGCTAAAAGTCCAAGTCCAGAATGGAAAACTTAACATTGAGATCTTCTGGATATCTCAGATGACCCAAGCACCTAAATGTGGATGGCTGGGCTGGGCAGGGTGGCTCACACCTATAATCCCATTACTTTGGGAGGCCAAGGCAGGAGGCTCCCTTGAGGCCAGGAGTTCAAGACCAGCCTGAACAACATAGGGAGACCATTATCTCTACAAAAAATTTAAAAATTAGCCAGGTGTGGTGGTGCATGCCTGCAGTTCTAGCACCCCTGGAGGCTGAGGCAAGAGGATAACTTGAGCCTAGGAGTTTGAGATTGCAGTGAGCTATGATGACCCTACTACACTCTAGCCTAGTCAAGAGAGCCACACCCTGTCTTTAAAAAAAAAAAAGAACAAACCCTAAGTAGAAACAGCATTTTTGAAAAACTACTAAGAATGGTTGTAAAAAGGAGGAAAAAACCCATAGGTGGACAACAGTAAGACAGATAAGTCCAAGAAAACAGAAAGAGAACCAGAAAAAGAAGAGGCCCACAAGTGTGAAGAGCTTGAGTGCAGATAAGAACTAACAGCAAAGAACGCAGAAGAAAGTTCAGGAGGGAATGAGCGGGCAAAATTCTCAGCAAAAACCAGAGTACAGATTTTTAAACCAACTCCAACAGCATATTCCCACAATTACAGAATTGCCAAATTCTGTAATAAAAGCTTTCCTCGGGAAAGGTGGCCATCCTCTCTCTCCATGGGTAATCAGTATTTTGTTTGACAAATGCATGGAAGTTACAAGAAAATGGGAAGGCAGTAACTTAAGTAAAGAGGAATACATTCTGTTAATGTGCTCTTCTGGAATAAAAAAGAGTATGTCTAACTTCAAATTTTTAAAAAAATAATTATAGTAAAAATGTCCATTAATTTTAAACTTCTATTTTTATCTGAGAAACTGCAAGTAACAGAGCTTTGCTTTTTTTAATGGAAAGATGTTTAGTAATACATTACAATTAAAAGAATGTTTAAATATTAAAATGGAACTTTTCTCTTTAACTATGTTATGGTGTTTCATACGGTTACTTGTCACCACTGTAATCCAAAGAGAATTTTTCAAGAAAAAAAAATTCATTTAAAAAATCAGTGCATTCTTTAACTGGTGTTTTGAGGTTCTTGTGTTCTTCAGATATATAAGGGCCAGAATTTTGTCTTAGAGGAAAGTAAAACTAAAAAGAAACACTTTTTTTAAAAAAAGGAAAGGAACAACAACAAAAAAACCATACATAGCTTACCATTTTTTTGACTTCAGCCGGGGAGGAGGGTTTCTGGGAATGAGAAACAGTGCTCTCATTGGATGCATGTCACAGAGAGCTGGGGAGAGGAGACGGTCGTGTCAGTATGGCACTTATTTTACTCATTCTTGATTTCTAGGGCTCACTTACAAATAACATCAAATGATCTGGCCCATCATCAGACTGATATGCTTTATATCAAGCAGTCTAGACATCTAGGTATAAACTCTAGGGCATACCTTGAATTTCCCATTTAAAAAGAGCAAAACAAGAGGATAAGAGCAACAAAACAAAAAACAACTTCAAATAGACATTGGAAAGTTTTCATAAATCAAAGTCTTAAAGGAGTTAATGCTTAAGTTTTTAAACCATCTGTAGGATTACAATGAAAATGATTGTATTTTCATAGGGTTGTTGCAGGGATTAAATAACACAGCTTGTAAAGGCCTTTAGACAATGCTTGGAACACAGTAAGCATGGTTAGGCCCTTCAGAAATGTTAACTGTTTGTTGTTACAGCTGGTATTACTATGAAAAGCAAAAATATGAGGGTAAAATGGAATTGTTTAATTCTGTGTAATTACTGTTTGTTCTCCTATCACTTGTTCTAATAAAGGTGTGTTAGGCACATATTATGCCCTAATATGTGCATTTTCACATGTTTCTTTACCTTCAAGAGAATCTTACAAGGCATCTGGGAAATGGGAGGTGGAGAAGCAGACAATACTATTCTCATTGTGAATGAAAGCTGAGACAGAAGATCAAGCAATACAACCCTGTCCCAATTCCGTATAAGGAAGCATGAGGGAATGTACAGCGTTCACAACAGACATCCATTCCTGTACAGGAAACTAATTTTTGGCTGTCAATAAACTTTTTTTTCATTCATTCAACAAATATTTATTTCAGCAGCAACTATGTACCAAGTAGTTACACATTCTTTGTGTATACCTTTTTATAAGGGGACCAGCAAAAAATGCTATTTTTTCTTTGTTCTCTGTAATTCTACTCTGATCCTGATCAAAAATCAACTTTATGAAGTTTTCATTGATAGAATCCAAAGGAGAAGCAAACACTCTTACAAAATTTCACAGATAACACAAAAAATTTTTTTTCTATAGATAAGAAGCTATGCCTCCATTTGTAAAGTGAAAAAACTTAATACTAAAATTTCATGTATTAGAACCAATTTCACTAAATAAGTTTAAAATATAAAAAGAAAAATTACTATTATCTGATCTCAGCATAATTTCAGGATACACATGTAAATACAACTTAAAAAGAAAATGTAGCCTATAGATCTCCTAGAGATCTCCAAAAGAAAGAATGGTAGCCAAGAGTTCCTTTTACATCTAAAACTTTTATGATTTATATAAAGTTATATAAATTTATAATTCCTTCATCTAAATGCCCCACCAAAAATGGCTTTATCATGGAGCTGTGCTTTTTGAAGTGTTAGGACTGTGCTAAAAAGCAAGAAAATTACTTACGGGGAGCACCTTCTGCCATCTCAATGGCTGTAATGCCACAAGACCAAAGGTCACTCTGCAAAAATAAAATAGTATGTTATGGACATCACATTGGCTATGAAACCATTAACTTACATTTCTGGTTATTCACACAAATGAAATAAAAACTTTCTTTGCTGCACAAACCAGAAGAAAGTTTGCTAGGAAATTAAAAGCACAAACATATCTGTAGAAACACCTTACAAAATGAATGAATGACAAAATAAAGATAAAATCATATGTTAATTAAAACCACTCACATTGACCCAGTTTTATGTTTATGTTTATTTTTGTTTTACATTAATATTAAATACTTCAAACTTAATTTCAAGATTTTAAAAGTTTAAAGGCCAAAAACCATTCCTTATAAAATGTCCACAACTGAAATCATAAAATTGACCACAATTTACTAACTCAAATCATACTGCTGAGTGTCATACTCCACCTTCAAACCAAATAAGTAAGCTGTCTTTCTCTGTATGGAACCTTTCCCTTCTGATTCCCCTGAAATAACAAATTTAAAATTTGATTTAAACTTTATGCCCTACTCAAATGTAAGTTATATGAGGGCAGGTGTTTCTCTTTTATTTGCTTTTGTATCTGATAGGCACTCTGTAATAAACACTGGCTGATGTAAGAACGTTTTATCAGTGACTATATCTTAAAATCCAAAGAAAGATTTTTATAAAGCAGATAAAGATAGTTATTGTCATTAGTGTACTTTTGTTTACCTGTTATCTTAACCAAGCAATTACCTAAAGTTGCACAATTTAAGGGTTTTCTAAATAACCTATAAATATGTTACAATGTTCAGGCACATATATTTGAATACAAGAATAGGGATGAGGCTGTGAATTCCTCCCTTATTTTTATGAAGTTTACATACCACAGGGGTACAAAGGGTTTACCCCAGGCGTCCTCAAACTACGGCCCGTGGGCCACATGCAGGTGTTTTTGCCAGTTTGTTTTTTTACTTCAAAATAAGATATGTGCAGTGTGCATAGGAATTTGGTCATAGTTTTTTTAAACTATAGTCCGGCCCTCCAACAGTCTGAGGAACAGTGAACTGGCCCCGTTTAAAAAGTTTGAGGACCCCTGGTTTACCCCTTATCCCAGTGACTGCCCTGGGCAGCAATAGTGGCAGGACAAATGGTACTGCAGATTTCCTGGTGTGAGGCAGGCAAAGCACCCCCATCTCCTGTGAGGAGACCTTCTAACAAGGTTTTCCTTGATAGTAATTGAGCCTTTCAGGTTACAGGAAACAAGCTACATTACAAAGAAGTAATCAAACACAGAGCATAAGACATTTTACAACAGGCCCAGCCACTTCAGCACGTCAGTTTCATAAAAGGGAGGGGAAGATGGCAATATTCTAGATTAAAAGGAACTCATGGGCCAAACAGCCAAATAATATTTTCCTGAACTAGACATTGATTTGGGCAAACCAGCTGGGTCTAATTATGAACTTTGTATTAAGAAGCTAAAAATAACTTCTTTTACTTAGGTATAATGATATTTTGGCTATTTTGGAAACATTTTCAAATTTTTGAGATATTTAGTGACATATTAAAAGAGTGGAAAGTCACAAAGTCCATAATCTATTTTAAAATACTTCAGCATATTAAAAATAAAATAAAAATTCCTCTGCATAGGTAGGCTTAAATTAAACCTAATTAGCTATTTATAAAAAAAAATACTAAAATACATTGGAGACTGTTAAGACATGAACTCAATTTTGAATATCATTAACAGGTACATTAACCATTTAATTAAGGTTTTTATTTTTAACAGTTTTTATACACACAGTCAATCTGTATCTAATTATCAAATATGGGTTTTACACCTGAATCGAAAAAGTGCATTACTGATTCAAGTCCCTAGAGGTCACTCTAGTAACTTCAATATATCTGCATACCAAATCAAAACCTATAAAGCTCTTTAACATCTCTAAAATTTTACACAGATGAAGCTATTGCTATATAATGATAATATTTTATAAAGAATAAATATTTAATTTTAATACATTCTTCAAGTTAAAAAAGGATGGCAAACAGGGGCAAAAACATTTAATTTACTCATGATGAAAAGTTCTAGGCACAGGAAAGTGCTCCAGACTATCTTGAAACCAATATATGCCTTAGTGAGAACAGAGGTGATAAGAATGGACAAAACAGACAGCATCTAAATACCACCCTGGAAAAGCTGCATGCATAGTGGTGTGCTCATGACTTCTTCATGGCAAGAGCAGGCAGAAATAAGGGGTGCACCAGTTGTAAGTAAAGCCTCCTTCCTTCAGGAACGCCAGTAGCCCAGCAACGGCCACAGAGCAGGTGCCTCTTACCCTGTAGTCATAGGTGGCATCTGGGTTCTCATCACAGGCGATGACCTCAGGAGCCATCCAGTAGGGAGTGCCTATGAACGTATTTCTCCGGCCTACTGTCCTGTCCAGCTGAGCACTCACACCAAAATCAACTGCAGGAGGAAGAGAAAGGAAAATGGAAACACAATTAACAAGTAAGATGTAATGGAGGGAAGAGGTGTCTTCGCAGTAAACTGAAACAGCAGTGCTTCGTGAATATGCAATCCTCAAGGCAGGCAGCATCAGAAAGAAGCACCCTTTCGGGAGCAAAGCCACCAAGACTGCAAGATATTCTAACAGAATGGGCGCTCCTGGGAGGCCTGGACCCAGCGGCCTCCCTGAGCTTCCCCAACAGTGACCAGCAGAGGGCCTTTGGCATGCAGGACAATCTTCAGTGCTTTCAGAGAACAAGCCAGCCCTAGACAAAAGCCCCTAGCTCAGGTGACCTGACTGAGACCCACTTTACTGAGCTTCTTAATGGCACTAATAACCAAATAAAAATTAAGAAATCCACAAAGGTTTTCTTGGAAATATAACACAGTACTGCATTAAATAAAAAGAATCAAGCTAAATCGCAAATACACAAAGATCACGCCCCGTAGCACTTGGGGACTTTCAGTGATTTTTCAATGACTTCTCAGTCCCATCCAATTTAATGATGATGGTGGTCTAGAGGAAAGTTGAAAGATGGGAGGTGGAGTTGGCAGAAAGCCCACAATCTAATAGAATGTTTGCCCTTCAGTACCTGTCAACATCACCACTACACACACTGCCACTACCTCAGCAGGAATGTGCAAAGGTGCGGACTTCATGCAAAAGGGCCTACATAAAGTGTTGAAATGATTTCTATGGATCATAGATTCAACTTGTGTGTACAGAATATGCTCAGGAAATGGGCTGGTGAGGGTGTAGATTCACTGCTGAATCCTCTTCTTGAGAGAGACACGCAGACCATGTAGACAGTTCAGAAAGCCTAAACATGCTCCACAGCAATTTAGAATGTAGCAGCATCCTACACCACTAAGTAATTCCTCAGGGACTCTCATGGGCCTAGTATCAGGGGTTAGAGATGAGAACAACTCAAGTGTCTGTCTGAGCTTGGAGGGGAGTGTCCAATTGGGCAGACTATTCTCCTCCATAGAAGACCAGTAAGTCCAGGCACTATGCAAGGAAAGCAATGGTAAGGACTTTATTTTTAAAATACAACTACAGCAACCATAATTTTTTAAAAAAAGTTGGACTATATCCTTATTAACATTAAGAATTTTTTCTTGTGATGGCTTAGTATTAGAAAAATCAGTGCTAACTCTTTAAAACTCTGACAGAATCATTATATGAAAGTAGAATGACAAGTTCAGATCCAGCTAAAAGAAACAAGAAAATACAAAAGAACCATTGTAAAATCATCTTCAGGAAGACACCACGGGCTGCAATTATCTACCCATGCAGAAATTTACCTACTACATTGAAGTCACTAACACTAGGTGCTAAATAAGAATACACTGGTGAATAAAAAAATTCTAGTCACTGCATTCCCAGAACTTACATTCTAGTAAAGGATACAGAAATACAAGTAAACAAATATTGATATAATTATAAATGTGACTAGAACTATAAAGGAAACAAGCATCAGGGTCCAAGACAGATCACAGGGTCAGAGAAGACCCCTTAAAGATGAAAGAAAAATTGTGACTTCAAAACCATGGTCAAGTGTTCCTAATAGGGAAACATTATGTGCAAAGGCCCTGAGGTGAGTTCCAAGAAGTTAAAAAAATGATAGTAATTGAGGAAGAAAGAAGTGAAGTAGGTCACAAAGTGAAGTGGGAAAAGTAGCAGGGATCAGATCCTACACAGGCTTTCAATGGCTATGGGTAAGGAATATGAATTTATCCAAAGTAAAACAGGAAGCCACCTAAGGGACTTTAAGCAGGAAAGTGGTCTGATTTAAAGATCAGTCTGGCTGCTGTATAGAGAACAGAGGAGAGGGAGAAGTATGAAAGAAGGGAGGCTGGAGCCAGGCTAGACTGAACTTTCAGCTACAAGTAACCGGGGCAGGGAGTGTTGCTGGTTTGCAACAGGACAAGTATTAGATCACACTGCACATGCATCACATACCAAGTTTCACCTCTGCATTCTCCGTCAGCAATACATTCTGGCCCTTGATATCCCGGTGGATCACATGATGAATGTGAAGATGTGCCAGTCCCTAAATAGGAAAGACAGATCTGAATTTTAGTTCTTTGTTGCCGAAAGTAAACAGCCAGGAACATATATTTTATTACAAAGTACACAAGTGGGTCAAAAGTTTTTTATGCACTCATACTTAGAACATAAAATTCACTCCTAGTGCATTCCCATGAAGACATCACCAATACTACCACACATACAGAAAGCTCCTCCCTACCCCCTCCATCCCAGTAAGTTAGGTTCCCCATGAGAGCAACATTACCACTTTCCAGCTGTGCCTTTAAGATACACTTCAGATTACCATCTGCATTTTTCTCTGCTATAATTTGTGCTATTTGTGTACAGGGTGGTTCCTTTCCCACGCTAAACGTCTATCTTTCAGAGGGTGACCCCACGGGCATATTTGAACTAAACACATCCCAGGGGAAAAGAGAAGAACTAGAAAGGGGTTTTAAAATCTGGCTCTTCAACACTGTCTAGTCTTCCTACTGCACAATGACAAATTGCTAAATGCCCATCAAACCTACCTCCACTCCAAGCTTAAAACAATTTCACTGTCAGGAGACTTGTGTTCAAATAAAATATCTTTCTTTCCCAAGGAAACAAACCTTACTGGGCATACAGTACATTTTGATGACCTTGTATCTGGAATGAAGCCCAAAAGCATGTCTCTTATGAGAGGTGGTAGAAGAACAAAAACATATGTTGCATCTAAATATGGTTCAAAAGATAGCAATGCATCATTCTCACAACTCATTTACTTGTTCTGTCCTTAGTTAGAGCAGCCAAATTTACAGCAAGTCTCCTTAAGACACATGCAACTATTTTCTCTGAAATGTCTTGATCCAAAAAGAGCAGATTAGAGGTAAGGATATATTCAATTTTCCTGTTTTGTTTTGTTTTTTTGGGGGAGCGGGGGGTTATTATTATCATTACTTTATAAGACATGAACTAAACACAACAGCTGCTCTAGAATACTAATTTTTCCAATACAAGGAGTTTCTAAACATTCATTTACTAGTGTGCCTCTGAAACAGAAGAGAGCTTATTCAATGGCTTTGTTTATTTTTCACAACACAGGATATGCAGTGTGATACCACAAAGCGCTGACTAGGGAAAAAAGCACTAAAAATATATGGTACCATAGTGCTATAGTTAGGGAAGCTGTCCCTCCTCTCAGCATGGTATAACTTCAAACAGCAAAAGGAGAGGGGGGAAAAATTGTAGTTTTCTCTAATTCCTTTGTAATTCCTACTTTTATTAATTACTTCAGTTCATTTTTGTTCTCCAATTTGCACAAACCTCCTACTTACACTTTTATAGGATTTTACCAACAAACATAAGCGGCCACATCTTCTCAAACGTAGCCTGCATACCATCTTGTTCATTACCAACAGCAAATGTATTAAACAATACCCATTTCCCTGTCCACACTGCTGGACTGCTGCTTCTGCATGACAAACTGCCTGAAGTATGTCTAATAGCTCTGTAACAGTGTTACCTTGAGTTACAATTATTCTAAACAATGAGTACATTTTTCATGTATGAAGTACCTGGGAATATGTGTTCAACTATTTCCGTACCAGAAGATAGGCCACAATATTTCCTTTTATCAGACATGCTAAGTCCAAATACTCAGTAAATATCTCATCCTTGAGCAAATGAATCAATGTTTCAAAGCTAGGAAACATTTATCCTACAACTCTCTCATCTGTGCACACTGACCAGAGGCACTGTCAAAGGCTGTCCCTTTGTATTGGTTATGGAAGCCGTTAAGTTCCCATACTCAATTATGAAATACAGATTTCTACCAAAATATGAAAACTGCTGTGGAGAATGTAAACATGGAAGTGGGCTGAAAGGAACATGTTGTTTTTGCTAATAAACCTTTTGGTCCAGAGGGTTTCAGTGGGTGACCCAAGAGAGCATTGCTACTGATGTCTGAGGCCTACATGATTATGACTCTCACCCCTGTGAGGAACTTAACATAATGTCTAAATCTAACATCTACTAAGGAATGAGGAAAAGTTTTGCCACTATGAAACTTAGCTACTATGTCTTTGAGAACCCAGGTAATCTGCCAGGGATGGTTGCCTTCCTGTCCTGTGAGATCTCACCTCCAACTTACCATCTTGCTTTCTCTTTACCAAAACCAACTCTTAGTAACTCCTACAATAAACACACACCAGTGTAAGACACACTAACTCTCCCTGAGGAATTTTTTTTTAGTCAATTTATACTTTTGTCCTAAGGAAAAATTCTCATTCCAGGTGAAATAAAGGTGAAGAAAGCTCTTGTTTCAGATGCCCAGTGAGGTGGAAAAGATGTGCTACATCTCAATAAGATGGGTATTCATTTACCATACTCAAGTTGATTAGGGGCCTCAAACAACTTAGGCTTCTTTTAAATATTGCCTGAGATCAACAATGGTAAAATGATTAAATATACATATTATATATAACAGGTAAACAATGCTTGCTTGGGTATATAAAAACATGTAATGTCTTGGACATCTGAAATATATTTAAAATATTATATTAAAAGCTAGTTCTCTGCTTGAGAAATCCCATACTGGAATTATACACAAGAAAAGTATGTGTGTATGTATGTGTTTACAACAGACAATAATGACAACTCGTATTTACTGATAGGTAGTTATGTATCCACATGTTACATTAAATGATTAATACATACTAACTCATTTAATTCTCCTAACAATAGTAATTTCACAGGGTTGGTATCTAAAATGTACAGATGAGGACAATTAAGTCTTGAAAGTTGAATAACATAGGGTATGCAGTAGAAACATAGGCAGGACTCAAACCCAAGCCTGGCCTGATGAACTCTAGCATCTAACTTCCTAAACACCATTCGATCCTGCCTACCATCCTAAGAGTTTTAGTGATTAATGTAATAAACACATCTGTCCTGTTACTCAATTCCTTTATAGTAGTATAAGATGGGATGCTTAGTTTCCCACTTTTAGGCTCTGCTTTCTGTGACAGCCATAAAAGATAAGACCTTGCTTTTTTTTTTTTTTCCCCCAGAAAGAATCTCACTCTGTCATCCTGGCTAAAGTACAGTGGCATCACCATAGCTCACTGCAACCTCAAACTACTGGGCTCAAGGGATCCTCCTCCCTCAGCCTCCCGCATAGCTAGGACTAGAGGCATGCCCCACTGCACTTGGCTAGCTTTTCTGTTTTCTGTAGAGATGGAAGTGTCACTCTTGCTCAGGCTGGTCTCGAACTCTTGAGCTCAAGGAGTCATCCCACCTCAGCCTCCCAGAGTGCTAGGATTATAGGCTTGAGCCAACCTGCCTGGCCTGGTATTTGCACGTGACTATAAAAAGACTGTCCTCCCACCACCCTACTCTCCACCTCACAACTAGTCTTCTTAAGGGAACTGCCTATTTTCAAGGGCTCCATAAATATAAAAAGAAATAAAATGTTTCTCTAGGAAATCTAGATGACAGTCTTTACACTTGCAGTGCTCTATGAACCCTAAATATAAAAAGTGGGATATCTTTACCTATAAATAAAAAATAACTACCTACTTACAAGATTTTTTTTTATCTTAGTGGGAGAAGCAGAACTGGATTTCAATTTAACTCCGTAGTCTTTATTTTTAAAATGTGGTGAGTAAATGAAATGCAACAAAGTAATTTAAGTGTGTAATTCAGGGGTCAAGTAGAGAGATAAACTGTGATAGCTGAATAGAGGAAAAAGACCCAATGGTAACACACATGCACCTTTCGAATTCAAAATCCTAAAAACCCTCTGCCTGTGCTGTCAGGGTGACTGTATTACTGAATGGAACCATTTAAAAGCTGCTGTAATAGCAGTTCAGAAACTTACAGTAAGATCATTAGCCAGCTTTTCAAATGGCTGTAAATAACATTAAACATTAGAACTTTTCTTCATAAATACTCCAACAGATACTAACAGCTAATGCCAAAGTCCACAAGATGATTTTGAAAACCAGCATGCAATGCCATTAGTATTGATTTATAAACTTATATGCAGGATTTCTATAAAAACAATAGTTAGAGACTATTTCTCTTCCCCTCCACTCTGATTTCCTTTTTAACTCTAATGGAAAACTGCCAGTAGGTGAGTTGTGATGGCCTAGAAGATAAATTCAGGGAAATACAGAAAATCTATTTTTGTTTTAAGTCTACATTCTTTAGAAACTTGCCACAGTGAAATCATGATGTAGTTCATATTACCAAAGCTAACGTCCTATACAGCACCCTTGGTTGTCAAATGGAAAATAATTGGTATAAGTACAACTTTTGCTAAGAAATACTTGGGGCTAGGAAATTGAAAATGGAAGCACAAGACCATGAGCAGGGGCACTGCGGCTGTATGCTTTCCTTACCCTCAGGATTTCCCTGGAGATGTAAGCAATCCAGTCTTCTTTGAGTGTATTCCCTTTGGTGTTCTTCACAAGGTCTGTAATGGATCCAGCCCCACAGAACTCCATAACAAGCTACAAGGCAGACAAGACACAGGGTGACTAACATATCCTGGAAAGTTAGGAAAATGTAGTCTAACTGCTGTACCTCCTCTTTCCTAAAGACCTGGACATGTGATCATTTTGGAGGTATCCAAATCATTGAGAGTTCATTTCATGGTCCAATGTATTCACCACGCATATTTGGTTCAGGAGATTGAGAATACCTGACATTCTACAGCACACCCCCAAGTACAGTGGTTCTGGAAGTGCTCATTCTCTCTCATAAGCACATGGGCACAGCACAGGAGGACCATTTTGTTCTTCATCCTACCCAATTATCAAAAATCTGATTCAAATACTCCCTAACATTCTTTCTCATTTTGCTTCAAAGATGTTCTATTTTTCACACATCATCATCCTCAAACTATTTTACATTAAATGGGCTTAATACAAAAAAGAAATGCTATTTTTAAGCAGTTATATAATTTTAGAAAATGCAATATTTAAAATATCTAAATTTTGAACAATATGATCACAATGCTATGTTTAAAGTACCTAGAAAATGAACTAAATTGAGCTAGCTAAAATTTTAACTATGATTGGATTTGGGCAATGATAATAAGGGTAAGTTTTTTTCCTTTTACTTAATTTTGCAAATATTTTCTATAATGGCCTTTTAAAAAAATAATTAGAAAAAGAGTTACTCTATCTTCCTGCTTTATAAGTTCAATACCTTGAGCATAAACTAATGTGATAGCCACATATCTGATAGTATTTCAAGGTCATCATCTTGAATATAAACATGTTCAAAAAAGAGATAAGGGTAAATATGTCAATTCCAGAAATTTACTGATTATAACTATTATGATTAATATTATTGATAAGTTACTGACAGAAGTTTGTTTCTTGAGATCTGTTATTTCTAGGTGGCAAGGCAAGATGCAATTTACTGAGGGTTCATTTTAATTGATTCCCATAAATAAAGTTTTTTATTGTACTGCTTTCAAGCTGCTAGTTTCCTTGCTATTGGTCATATTCCTTCCAGAAGGTGTCTTTTTATTTCGGAAACAGAAAGTTAACTTTTCCACATAAAATGCGAAATCAACATCAAACTAAACATTCTGTATATCAAGAGATACAGGCCAAGGAAGCCTTTAGAAGCTACCAGCTACTACACCCCATTGCTTCCTCCTCTCCCCACCCCTTTTCCTTCATATCCTCATAATACAACCAAAGAAGAAAGCCCAAGCACTCAGGAAACATCCACCTACCCAGAGTTGGTCGTCATGTCCTGGAGGGCTCTTTTTAATGAAAGCACCATAATATGTTGCAATATTTCTATGATGAGAATATTTCTTAAGCATATTTATCTCCAGTTTGATTTCTTCCTCTTCATCCTTAAAAAAAAAAATAAAAATAAAATGTATGGCTACTGAATGATATACATGACTTTACTTTCCCTACATACATAAAATAATGAACGGAATACAGGTTCCTAGTCCTCCAGCAGCAGGGGGACACACACATTCACTTTATCTTCATGCCAAGAACTACGGGTCTTTGGGGACATATCTCTTAAAGTGTGATTACAAGCTACACAAGAATGCCACGAAGTATAAGAGGCGACAAGGAACATGGAGAGCAGCAGGTGAAGCAGCCATGACAGTGTGGTGGGGAGAGGTCAGCTCTCCCACTAACTGTGACCTCAAGCAATTCACTCCACTTCTCTGAGCCTCAATTTGCTCATCTGTAAAAGTGGGACCAAAAAAAGAGAAATGACTCATATGGTTTCAACTAATAACTAGAAAAGGCTGTTTTCATTCTAGAAAACACTTGTGATAACAAATCATCTAGTCCACTTAAAGCCCCGTACAACGGCACCCTCTAGAGAGGCCATGGACACGTTACTGAGCACAGGACACCAGCCAGCAGTGCAGTCCCTCCCCAGGTTCTCTAAGCACACTGAACAGAGGTTCCGGGAGCCCAGCAGGCGCCAGTAACAAAACATCACTCAACAGTTTGTCTCAGACTTAGTACCTCTTCCCTAGCCTGTCAGCTTATTAAAATAAGATGAGCAGAGGAAGAAACCCAGACTTTGTGTGAGAAGGTGGGGGTGTGGATGAAGGAAACAGTTGCCCTTGTGAATGATGAGGGCTAGGAAGTCTGTGGTTTCCACCTCTGTCACATACAGCTGGGGAAGAAACTGCGCCAGTCAGTGTGCGCATCTTCTCCTTGTTGCACACATGACACACTACCTGCAGTCACGATAAGGAAGAGCTGTAGTTAGTATGAAAATGAGGAGAAAGCAGAATTAAAGTGAAAAAGAAGAGAGAATAAGCAGGAAAAAAGAAAAGCAGCCTTCGTTAGAAAACAACAGTGTGAGATTCGAGAAAAATCTGATGACCAGATCTCTATAATTCCCTCTACTGCATCTATTTTCAAAAGGAAAAGATGACTGGCTCCCTAAAACTTTACTTAGTTTTCTATACTGACATACACATTCCACTTATAAATGACATCCTTTTTCTCCAGGGAAGACTCGTGGTTTCTGAGTAGTTTAGATGTGTATATGTGCACATGCAACCAAGAGAGCATACATGCATACACACACACAACTTTGAACAAGTCTATTGCTTTAGCCCAGACCTTTAGGTACGTAAGCTCTTAAGAGTGGTTCTGGAACCAACCTGGAAAGTCACCATCTTGAATATCACTATTCTAAAGTGACTATGTGTCTTATTATGAATTTGGTTTTCTAAAGCACTGATATACAAATGAAGTTTGTATTTAAAAAGACATTTTCTCTCCCCATGTGGTCTCACCACTACTTCTAATTAATGATGTTGCAGCTTTTCTCTTAGTCACAAAACATAAATATATTATTATATAGTCATGTACCATCTATCAACATTTCAGTCAACAGCAGACCAAATACACAACAGTGATTGCATAAGATTATAAATGGAGCTAAAAAATTCCTATCGCCTACCGACGTCATAGCTATCATAATGTTGCAGCACAATCCATCACTCCTGTGTTTGTGGTAGTGCTGGTGTAAACAAACCTACTGTGCTGCCAGTCATATAAAAGTATAGCACATACAATCATATATAGAACATTAATATCTGATAATGAGTGACTGTGTTACTGGTACTCACTATACTACACTTTTTATCATTATTTTAGAGTGCACTCCTTCTACTTATTAAAAAAAAAAAAGCAGATGTGTAGCCTGTATAATATAACTAGGTTTGCAAGCAGGCTACACAACACACTCTAATGATAGACTGCACAAGAGAATAGAAATCCCCTAATAACGCACTTCTCAAAATAATTCATTGTTTTATTTTTTTTCTATTTTTTGGACAGATCTCTGCTTTGTTGCCCAGGCTAGAGTGATGCGTGGCTTCGCACTGCATCACAGACAACGTCAACTCACTAGGGCTCGATGATCTTCTGCCGTCACAACCCGGGTAAGCTTGGAGCTAAAGGACAATAAGCGCCACCATGCCGGCTAATTTTTTTTTTCTATATTACAGTTGGCCATTAATTCTTCTTCTATTTAATAGTAGAGACCGGGATTCTCGCTCTTGCTCAGGCATGGTTTTGAACTCATGAACTATCGAGCAATCCGCCCGCTCGGCCTACAAAGAGCTAGGATTACAAGGTGACCACAGCGACCCGCACATATATTTATTGTTAAGCACGCATGAAGTGTAAGTATTCTATAGGCACGTTTCTAGAATGACTTTGATAGATGAGTAACGTTAATATGGCAGCAGTTACATGGCCAAGTACAGTGAATATAATAACTTCTCATTCAAATCCTGCACATAAGGAAATCACACCAAATGCATATCATTTCAATCTGTGATTTCAACATGGTTATGCTGAAAGCAGCAATCAAAATGAGATACTCAATAACTAAGATAACTATTTCAATTCTAAACCAAACCAGTGTTTAGCCCATTCAATTATTACAGAGAAACACACTTTTGAGACCTCTCTTCAAAGGAACTTATATACTAAAACAGAAAGGTTACAATTTTTATTAAGAAGCATGCAGAAGCATGTCTAAACAAAACTAGAAAACTCATTCATCAAAGTTTTACATCATGCTTTTCCACACACTCACATTTATACACACAGTATGACAGATAGTAGTGACCATAGCTTGCTGGCTCTCCCCTGACTGACAACAACTCACTCCCAACATAATTCTACAGGTCCTGCGAGTCCTCTAGACCAACAGTGAGCAGGCCAGGACAATCTAGTGAGTAAGGCTTGTCAAGACAGGTAGGCTCCTAACAAAAGTCAGCACATGGCAATGACCATAAACCTGCCCTGTTGAAAAGGCTGTGGCACTACTCCCGGGACAAAGGCCACAATTAAACATCTTTGTTCTGAGAAGACAAACATCCCACTTTCTTTACAGTTGAACTGCAGCTAACTGATCAGAAAGTGAACTAAAGGTTTGATTTTCTTTTTATCTAAAACCAATAAACCATAAAAATTGGGATGTAAAGACTACACAAAAAACAAAAAGAACAATGTTGAACTAGAGTAGCAAAAATCAAAATATTGAATTTTGTTATTGTAGTAAAAGCAGCCAATCACTTCATGTATGGTGTGAATTTTATTGCATTATCCAGACTTGTTTTATTGATCCATCTCTACTCCTCCCTCCACTCCTCATACTGGTTAAATTATCCCCATGGTTACTTTTCCCTGTCACCTTCTGCCAATAGTTTTACTTCCTGACAGAAAGCAAATGCTATCTATGATTCTCCCATGAGAAGCTTCTTGAGAATAATTAAGGATTATGACATATTTTGACTAGTTTCCATTTATTTTTTTCTTTTAGTGACACAAGCCAATTTCTTCTAGGCTCTAACTTACTCACTCTGTAAGAAGAATCCAGAGCTTCTATAGGCACTTGATGTTTTAAAGCCCACTAAGTTAAAAATCAAGCACATATTTTAAAGTTCTTAGAGGATTAAATTCAGTAGCGGCCACTGGTTTGAAAAACACTGAATATGCATACTGGCAAATTATTATGGCACAGTGTATTTCACTGATCTAAAATGTCCCTGAATGGAGACACACCATTATTTTAGGAATAAACTGTGATGCACCATAATACACATATTGTAACATCTTCAAAACTCAGCTGCATCTTAGAATCAATGAAATACAAGAACTGAAATATAATCAAGTCTGGCAGTGCTTTTCTAATATGACTGAAACATAACGTCGAAAGCTACAGTTTAGCCTAACGCGTTCCGGAAGTTATTACTGAAGAAAGACAAATTTGTAGTAATTTACTGTAGCCTAGAGTACAAAACACAGCTGCCCGTACTCAAAACTCTAACAGTAGGGATATCCGTAGCACCTTCACGTCTCACTCGCCCACTCATTTACGCACTCAGCCAGAGCAGAGCTTCCAATTCCTGCCTAACTCAGTTCTATCGTAAGGTTCGCTCCTATATAAGTGCTACCATCTTTTATCTTTTCATTCTGTGAGTTGTATTCTATTCTTTCATATCTTTAGATGTGATTTTGCACACTACAACTACTGATTGACCCATTGTGTTTACAATTGCCTATAGTATTCCGGATTACAGTAGAAATGCGTGACAGGAGTTGGTTCATAGGAGATAACAACTCCATGCCTGTTATTGCCTGAAGATATTCCAGTGAGCCAGTGTGGGCAGAAGGAATGATATTGATGATCCAACTGTGTAGGCCCAGGCTAATGTGTGTGTATTGGTTTTTAACAAAAAGTTTAAAAAGAAAGAAAGAAATCTGCAAAATTTTAATAGAAAAGCTTATAGGGTAATGATACTAAAAAATATTTTGACAGCTTACAATGTGTTTGTTTTAAGCTAAGATTATTACAAAATAATCAAAAAGTGAAAAAATCAAGATGTTTAATAAAGTGGAAGTACATTTTACTAAGTTATTATTATTGAAAAAATTTTTTATAAATTTATGAGCTAAGTACAACACAGTGGCATCACTCTCATAATATCTTAGACCTCACGACTCGCCACTCATTTATGATCACCAGAGAACTTCCAATCCTGTAAAACTCCATTTATAGTAAGTGCCCTATATAAGTGTACCTTTTTTATCTTTTTTCTGTTTTATTTATTTTTCTTCTTAGATATTTTAACTAAAAACTTTTACATTGTTACAATTTTATATTTATTCAAACAGTAAAATGCTGTACAAGATGTGTAGTGTATATCATAGCTTATTTGCAGCAGTACAAACACTCTATGATTGACTGCACAAGGATGAAATCCCCTAATGACGCACTTCTCAAGAAAATATATTTCTTGTTTTTTTTTTTTTTTTTTAGCAGAGTCGCGCTTTGTTGCCCAGGCTAGGTTGA